ACTTTGAAAAATTTAGGAGCCAAGTGGCTATCAGAAAAAAAATTGATTTCACACCTGGAAGATCTTATAAATGAAATTGTACTATTTAGCTAACAACATTGGTAAATGATTACGTGAATGAATTACATTGTTTCACTCATCCATGGTTTTTGACATACAGTTGTTGACCAGAGTGTTTGACATTATGCGAGCTAAAAACCCTGAAATGGTGACAGGAGAAAAAAAGAAGTTTGTGATGAAACCACCACAAGTAGTCAGGATAGGAACCAAAAAGACATCATTTGCCAACTTCACAGACATCTGTAAAATGTATGTGGATGAAAGTTTGAGGTTATTGTAATCAAGGTTAACTTATGCCCCATTCACACCAAAGCTTAAACATGTTTAAAAGTTGTTTTGTTAAACACAGTTTAATTTTTTTTTCTTCATAGAAACTATTTAACCGAATATTTTTGACTTGAATGTAGCACATTGGAAATGCAAGTTAGCAAGTACTTGAATCCAATGGAAAATCAAGTTTTTCAGTTCTCTGTTTATAATTTTCATTCAATGAAAACCAGTTTAACAAAACATGTTTTGCTGGTGTGAATGGGGTATTAGTCATTATGCAGCTGTAAGAATGTTAAGGTAAGATCAGCTTGAGAGCCAAAAGTGCCAAAGGACTGAAAAATAAAAAACTAGGTTTAAGTGGCATGAAGAGACACGAGTATTGCTACTTCATCCTCCCTACCTCCTCCCCCCTGAGATGGGATGTTAGTCCAAGAACCCCCTTCCCCAGATTTTGTCATTTTGTTACTGTTCACTGGTATCCATTTATACTCCTGCACAAAGAGAGGGTTAGTGAGAGAGCAAAGTGTCTGACAGCAGAGTGCATTAGAGTGATGCTACCAGGGGTGGGAACCTAAGTGTTTTGATTCAAAGTCTAAGGAAGTAACAGCTAAGGCATCATGTCTCCAAATATTTTAACAAAGTAAATGTAATATTGTGCATTGATGGTTATTAGGAGATTCAAGAGCTCAAGATAATTTTGACATCTAAGAGACTTGCCAAAAAGTAATTTTTAGATTTTTATGCTATGTGCTCCACATTGGGTCCATAATGCCTTAAAGATTTGAAAAGTTCTCGTTGATTCAGATATAAGAAGATGAAATTTTTTTGTTTTTGCAGCTTACACAGACAACCAAAACATCTTTTAGCCTTTCTCCTGGCAGAGTTAGGAACAAGGTATGGATGTCCATCTTGTTTTACTCTTAATGTGTAACAACAGCTGCACTGTTGTAGGCAGCAAGTTTTTTTAAAAAAATGGAAGTTCATTTTGGCAGTTGAGTCATGGAGTCTGAATTCTTTTGAGAATTAGAGTTCATTTAACATATTTACACAAATTTTATTGCAAGACTTTCTTTCTGTAATTCTGATTTGGTTTTGTTTGAATTATTTGCAGTGGTTCAATTGATGGAAATAATCAACTTATCATTAAGGGACGTTTCCAACAAAAAATGATCGAAAATGTGCTTAGAAGATACATCAGTAAGTGCAGTTATAATATTTTTAGAATCAATTGTTGTTGATACTCCATCCAAAGTTTGACCCTAAGTTCCTATGCTTAAATGGCATGGACCCTTGTTTGGGATAGTAAAGTATAGCATCAATACAATTTCCCTCATTGATTATTTGATAAGTCTAATTACAATTTGCATCAAGGCATTTTTAAATTTTAAGGACACTTTGCCTATTAATCAATTGTGTCAGTGTTACTTCAGCAAGTTGACCCTCTAACTTGCTAAGATCTGATTGTTAACTTTTCTCTCGAGCTGCTTCATATTTCCTTTTACATAAGTTACAAGGATTTGGTGTTAGATCAAGATAGCAACTTCTGCCTGATAAGTTTGTGTATTCTCATCACCTGTTTGCAAGGTAATGTATAGGGAGGTTGTTAATCACTTCAGGGAGTTAAAGGCTTAATCCACCTTGTTTGTCTCCCCCACAGAGGAGTATGTCACATGTAACACCTGCAGATCTCCAGACACCATCCTGCAGAAAGAAACTAGATTGTTTTTCATTCAGTGTGAAACATGTGGATCAAGAAGATCTGTTGCCAGTATCAAATCAGGTTTCCAGGCCATCACCCAGAAGAGAGCTCAACTGAAGAGTAAACAACAGTGAAACACATCTCCAAGCTAGTACATTTGAAAAAATTTATAGATTAAGGAAGTGGTTGGTCTGTAAACTATGACAAGCCCAACAGTTGTCAAGTGAATGAAAATTTCTGGAAGAAGCAAGAACACTGGAAAAATATCATTTTAAAAATGTAATCTTTTGAAATTAATGTTTTGGTTGAATAGTAAACTTTGCATGGAGTAGGAAGATGAAAAGTACCTGTACATACATTCCTTGTGTGCATTTTCTGCTACTTAAACTAGTAACTTTTCCTTTGTATTAAGCATCAGGTGCTTCTGTTGTTAGAAATTGAGATTAAAAACTCCAAACTAAGAGAGGAGCAAGCTGAGGGTGAATCCCATGTTCCCCCCCCCACTCCCCCCACAAAAATAAGGACCATACTCAAGGGAATCCCTGTCCTGGAAACTCAGGAGGATCTGGATAAAGCCAGTTTCATGTCACAAATACTGTATATCTTTGATTGCCTTTCATTAAATAATGCACTGAAAGTGAAGAATGCGGCATGTATTTGAGGATAAAAAGAGAAATTTTCTTGAAAGGTACATCTAGATGGTCTACAACATCTTTAGTAAGTTTTATCATTAGTTAGATAGTGGAATGTTAAGTTTCTTTGATAGTTACAAGTGATTTATCGGACTTTAGAAAGATCTTTTAACAATAAAAGCCACCACAAAGAAGCAGGCCTTCAGGAAATGCTCCAAAGTAAGTTTAAACTGCAGCATTAAGGAGATTAAATTACACTTGAACAACCCATGTGGCTTCCATGCTATTAATGACTATGATCAAATCCTAGAAACACACGGAGTGCATTGTGATGTTACTCTGAGAGATGAGATAACGTGAGTCTAAAAATAACCTGGAAAGGAATTACTTTTATTAGTAACAGAGTCTTGTGTGAGTCTCTTAGCTTATTATCTCTTGCAAAGACTTAATATGTACAAAACTATTTTAAAATTTGTAGAACAAGATGAGATATTTTTGCAGAAGGTAAGGGTAGGTAATGATGATCACTGACCACTTTTTAACTCCACTAATTGATAAACTTCTGACCAACAACGTATTCCTATTACTGTCATCCTTAGAATGTACATGATACTTTAATTGCCGATAGTTCTGTTTATTCTCACATGACCATCTCAAGCCTAGAAAGTACATTGAATAAACTTGTGATGCTTATGTAATATTGTTTTGGTTAGATTAAATTCAGTTTTCATCAGCACATCTTGGGCTTGTGAGTTAAGCATGCATTTCAGGAGAATTCAGCAAAAAAGGAATTTTTTATGGTGGGTGAAATTACACTGCTGTATTATTCTCTTATTGGTCTAAAATTCACTCAGACACTAAAAGTAAAACCACATGAGATAAGGTTATACACGTTTTCTTGTGCCTCTGGCAGTTTGCTTGTTTTCACTTCAATTTCTTACTTGTTATTCTTAACTTTTAGCTGTATTTGCTCAGCGGTGAGACGAGGACACCCAATTGGCTGTTTTCATTAATTTCATTTTGGTTTCATAGGAATACACCACTTAAACTTCTCCTAGGGATTCCAATGATGTAATAAAATTATTCCAGACTAGTCACATCCCAAAGGTTACAATACTTTCAAACCCTTCTTAACACCAAATCCACATTTTCTCTTCAAAATTTCAGGAGAAAACTACCAGATAATGAGACAAATGTCATACTTTCAAACCCTTCTCAATGTCAATTTCACATTTTCTTTTCAAAATTTCAAGAGAAACTACCAGATACTATTTTTTATTGAGAAATGTTGTTATTCAATAAATTAAAAGTGTTGTTGGGACTGTCCAGCAAACCATGTGCCTTCGATAAATAATTTATAATTAAACACTTAAGTCTATGACTGAGTTAGTTAGCAAAGATTCAAATATTTCCCATTTTTCAAGCTAAAAATGGTGCTCTTCCCACCTGTTGATTTGTTACTTCCTCCTTTGTACACAATTGATCCCAAACACTGTGCATGTTAAAGGAAAGAAAAAAAGGGGAAAACCAAACAAGCATGTTCAAAGAAACAAAATTTGTACAGGAAAAACTTTCTACCTTAAAAGCTGTAACTAAAGGGGAGGTTGAAAAGTTCATGATTTTTGCAATTTGTCAAACCTTGCCCATGAAGTCTCATATACTCAGGCATTCCAGATGAAGGAAAAGCACTCGTCTGATACCTTGACATTTGTTGTCTACAATGCATGTTACACTTCTTGATCCATAACATCGCAGATGAAAGAGTAAAGCAGATGCCATCATAAATAACAACAGTCCACTGTGCCAGTAAGAGCTCCATGAGATTTAGAAGCAGGTTCTTGATTACTGATTCATTTACATGCTGTTTAAAACAATGCGCACGTAATGAAGTATATAGACTCTGCTTCACTTCCATCTAATTCCCTTGGCTTTTCTCACTATTGTAATTAATAGTGCACATAGAGTTATTGAAAAATCAGGAGTGTGTTTGTAGAGGAAAAAATCATAAAATTAGAGACAAACTATTTTCAAGCACTTAAGTAATAAATGACCAACACAGTAACTGTGAAGTAGCCAGCTCAGCAACAATTACTGAACAATTTAGCCTTTGAGAGACAGCTGAGAACTTCTCTAAGGCCTTCTGCTAGTAGCTTGGAGACTAGTATGAACTTCATAACGACAATCAGTGACAGTGTTAACTGAGAGACACGAATGTTCCCGCAAATGAATTTGCATTTTTATTTTGTTCTTTGTTAAAGCCTTGTGTAAAACCTTGAGGTAACAGCATTGACTGACATTAACCAATGTTCCATAGATTTAAAGAATAAACAAGCCAATAATAAGACAAATCCAGTTTTTTAATGAAAGGTGTTTTTTGTCCAGCAAACTACAAGCCTTTTATATATTATGGTGGAATAAATACAAGTCTTCTAGCCTTTGCTAGTCGTTTAGTAAAATGAACTTATAGGTCCAACTCTTAAAGTTAAAAATTTTACAATTCACTAATGACAAGTTGTTACATTGCCTTCAAATGTTGCACAAGTTCTCTGTAGGAAACTTTGTTTGAACAAGCACAGCCAAAATACAAAAATTTGGAGAGAAATAAATGGCTCCCTATAAAAACTGTAAATAAAAACAAAAGTACCATAATTTGACAATTAAAGTAGTCCAATTTTTCTTTGATACACTCTGGCACCTCATAGATCACTGCCCCATAACTACACAAAGAAAAAACTTCTACTATTCAAGATACAATGTAAGGGTTATACACAATTTATACACAACAATATCATGAACACAATTACCCAGTATGTTAAAGGCTGAGGTCATATCAGCCACCCAAAAGAACACATGAAACTTAACAACTTCAACTTGATGATGGACAGCAATTTGACCTTGTCTCATTCGAGTCTAAAATTACCAGTAAATGAGATATGGAAAATTTTAGTGAAGCATAACATTGAACTACGAGTCGGATGTAATTGTTTCAACCTTAAAGATATCTATTAATCTGATTTTCTGCACCACATTTTAAAAAAAAGAGAAGATTGGTTTTTTGAGGTCTTACCAACAAATTATTAAATTAGAATAAAGTTAATAAAAAATACATCTAAATATTTAAATAAATCTTATATTCCACCATGTGCTAAGTTTTTTTTCCCCAGGTTCAGAGAGAAAACTATTCCTCTTCCTTCATGAGATGATTTGCAATACCTAGTGCACCTCCAATGCCAAAGCGGACGAAGTTGTCTCCAATCAGAGGGCCAACCGCAAACAAGCCTGGTTCCAGAACAGTCTCATAACTAAAGGGATTAATATTGATAGGATTCCCTTTGCTATCAATTTTCTTTGCAGGATTACTTCCAAGTTCACTAGTATTGACATCAGACAGGAAAGAAAGATCTGGAACTGCACCAACCAACACAAAAACATTCGAGACCTTCTGCTTAAAGAGGGTTCCATCAGCCTTCTTCAGAATGCACTCTTTGTCTTTACGAATCTCCACTAGGGTAGTCTTGGTGTAAGCCACATAGGAGGAATCTTTTCCATATGCTGTGGTCACCTCACCTTTGATCATTTGGCCCACTTTGTAGTACTCTGGGTACACCACACCAGGTAGCTGATTGTAAATGATTTTAGGATCATTTCCATTCCGGCGCACCACATGGATGACTGGGACACCCTTATTGCGCAGAGCTAAGACACAGTCAGCAGCAGATAATCCTGCCCCTACTACCAGACATGGGTCCATTGAATGTGCAATCTCACTAAGTTCTCCTAAATAACTGTCTATACGATCCATCTTGTGGCAGACAAATGGAAGGTTTTCTCCAGGAATTCCTAGTAGCTTTGGGACATTGCTTCCTGTGGCAAGGACAACATTGTATGCATGCACAACAAACAGTTCGGGCATGCTCGGAAAAGTCTCCCTAACACCTTGAATTTCCCAGAAGCCTTCTCTGTGAATGCTAGACATTCTGCAGTGGCAGTTAGTATAATCAGCAGGATTAACACGTTTGACTGACAACACCTTGGCATCATTCCAAAAGTTTGATGCAATGTTGGTATAATTGACATAGTCCTTGTAGTATTCCGCAATGTGGCTTGTTGTTGCCCGATCATAACTGTAACCATCACTTTTCACTCCATTTGTGACAAGATTACATGGTTTGCGCACAGTTGAAGAGCGATGAGCCCTTAACCAGTCTTGAAAATCACACCCTGGTAATTCAAGCCAGTTATTAAGGCTGAGGGTCAGCTGGGATCCCTGCATATGATGCCAAGATCCTCCAGGGGGCCCACTCCCCATGACCAGATGTTTCACAGCTCTGTTTTCATTGTGATGCCACTTGAGACACGAACCTTGGTCTTTACCCAGGTCAGCATTGGGTCGCAGTAACTGGTCAAACAACAGGGCAACAGGATTTAAAGAGCGCCCTTCTAATCCCTCACTCAAGTACTCCAAATCCTAAAAAATGTTCAGACAAAAAAATTCGATATCACTTGCATTTAAAATAAATGAGATTTTCTCTTGCTATTTTCACTACATTACTAACTCACTGTTTCTTGTGATGAGAAAATGAAAATGAGAATGTGAGGAAATAAGTGTTTTTGAAAGACATCTCTAAACTGAAAAAACTACCATTAAACATCAATTATCAATGATCCAAATTATTCCATCACTGATCATTTCACAACTGACTTAATCAATCAGGCAGGAAATTGAGCCATTATATGCTGAAAAGGCAAGAAGGAAATTAAACTTCCCTCAGAATTGTTTGGCTAGTTTCATTTAATCTGTGGTTAAACTTACAGTGTCCAGCAGTGATTTTCCAGGTTCCTCGGACAGCTTCTGGTCAAGAATAACATTTGGATGCTGATGAGGAATGTAGTATGGTACATTTCCAGATAACAAATAGGACAGACTTAAAGCACTAGGACCATTTCCTGCAAAACAAAGAGGGTCAACAACATCAATTTTTTTTCAGATAATCAATACACAAAGATCATAAAATCATTTAACATATTAATTGTGCATATTACCCTTTCACCCAGGGATCTGACAGTAATTATGATCTCATCTAAAGCCACATTTATCGTTTTATTTTCTTTTACTTTTAACAAGACCCTATTTCCTTGTTGACAACTTTTACCATACTCATCACCCGCCCATTTTACAATGTATTGAAAATGGTAGGAGAGTTAACAGGCAAAAACACATTTTGATGTATAAAGGTCAATTAATTCTTGTTTCTGATTTTCCATCTTAAGATTGGCAAATTGAAAAACTATGGTAATTTTGCATTTTCTTAGCATGGGGTGTGAATTCAAATGCATTGAAATAAACAAATTAAACTGATTTTTTTTTTGTTTTCATTTATTTACAACACAAATCTTGAATACAAATAAGACAAAAAAAATCATGCAGAGTAATTGAAGCAGTTGTTTTTCAGAGCATAACCAAGAAAAATAACCACAAATAAATTGCAGGCATAGTTTGCGTACAGAGAAGGTTATTATTTTGCAAATTGTGCTTGCAGGAGGGAGGCCTACAATCTAAAACAACTACTAAGAAAATTAGCCAATCATTCAAGTCACTCATCACCCACTGATAACATGATCAAAGGCTGGAGAACCCTAATGCATGGACAACCTATATAATGTTTTAGAAATTCACGACTTGCATTGTTTGCAGAGATCAGTAGCCCTTGGGCAAAACATTACTATTGGAGAAGCATTTGCCAACTGGATTGAAAAATATAAGGAAAAACGAAGATTCAGGTTCAGTAATACCGAAATTGTATTAGAGCCTATTTCCTAGATAACCTAAAAAAAAAAAAAAAAAAAAAAAACACCTCTACTCTGAATTTGACAAATAAACTGTTGAAGTTTTCCTTGATTACACACTGCCCAGTTAGTAGCATTCTTGTGCAAAGAAGCTTGAAATAGATTACCGACTCTATGAGGCATGGATTGTGGGAACATAATTTGCATTCTGTCTAACAAAATGCACGCAATCTGATAATTACAATTTGGTCAGCCTTGTCCTAGAAATGAATATAGCAGGATGAAGGGATGAATAAGATCCACAAATTTAGCCATGTATTTTAATTAAAAAAAAAACTGCTAGTTGAAAACTCATGTGAATTGTCAGGTGTTGACAGTATCTGTTTACCTACATTTTCCTGAGAAAGACTCCATGCATATGGTATAATTCTATATTTTAATGAGGAAAATTCAAATGCATGTACAAATTCAATTTTATGTTTGAAATCTGGGCATTTTAGAACAACATATACTTACCTATCACCACTACTTCATATTCATCGTCACAGGAATACAGCGACATTTGAGTGACAGGTTCTTGTTCAAAGCAGATTACTGTAAACAAAAAGGGAAAATGTTATTACAGTGCTGTTGCTTTTGGGATTATTTCCGAGCTAAATTTGCAAAAATATAAGCCTCCAAAAACTTGATACAACGACCTCACCCTACAGCTTGCCTGTTCTTATAAGTAAGGTAGAGGGTTTTGAAAAGATAACAGCTTGTATTGGCCAAGAACAACAACAAATGAAATGCAGCAAATAGCGAGTGTATTTCCATTCGTTACAATGAATCAGCAAAGGTTTTACTTTGCATAAATTAAGCTCTAAGTATGTAAACACAATATCGTGACTCCCATTTTAATCTTGATTTCCAACAAGAAATCTTTTGAAAAGTTAAGTTGAAAAATATTAGAACTTGAAAATTGTCTTCAAATATGGCGAAGTAATGAAATCCTCAGCTTTAATAGGGATTTATCAAGACGGAACACCGAATTAAATAATTGATTGCTACTAATTTGGTGGTTAGAATATTATAGTGACCTTCACTGAATTCAAAATAATATTTAGTCGAAGTCTGTACAAAGAGGTAAATTTATATTAAACGAAGTGCTGGCACTTCAGCAAGTTCAAAAACTCTCGTAAGTGGTATTATGTCTAACCAGCATGCGAAGAATTGGGAGTTCGTCGTCGTTATTCGAACGGAGAATTTTCGGCAAGCCAATGTGAAAAAACGAGAATCATTCGGAAAAGATTTCTCCAATAACAACAACCCGTTGATGCTGTTCATTTTCTCGTTACATAAGATATCAAAATAAAATGAGTGAAATAACTTCGAGTCTGAATTGTGGAAACGTTAAAAAGAAGTGAAGCTGCAAAAAATTTAAGCCGAGTAAACTACGGAAGCTAACATCTCCCAAAACTGAAAGACCACGTGTGATAGCCGAAAAATTGCTTTCGAAATTATTTCAAGTTCCCTTTAGCACAGTTACCGGAACTGCTCCTCCCAAATCCTACCTCGCTGAGTACGTCCGCGAGCTTCGACGGCGACAAGTGTAAAGATCTTTCCTCACGAGATCCAAATCTTTAGTAACGCAATCATTACTCGACTGTTATTCTGTTTATAGCTGTTCACGTGGACGTGTTTTTACTGTGGTCAAAGCGATGGATAGGAGTTGTAGCTAAAACTCCAAAAGATACATTTACGCCTCTCCTGAGCGTCAAATGTAACTACGAGTTACACCTGACTGAAAAGCCACACTCATGGCCGCGAATACAGTTGTGGATTACTGACTCACAAATGAATGATCATCTAGTTCCCAGACTCTCTCTTTAATGTGAATAACTAATATTGAAGAACGTTGGGAACCCGAAGACAAGATTAATCATAACATGACCTTTAAAAGTTAATCTTTGTTCCTAAAGAGAAGGTTCATTACAATCATTCTTAGAAGCTCTCTTGAAAATTCCTATTGCCACGAATGAAATATGTATGTAGGTAAAATTTCCGCACAGCTCCTTTCTACATTATGCGTTCAATTCAGATTTGTTTAACAATAGTTTGGGCTGTGCGGAAATTTTACCGATCATTTTCCTAGAAAATATGTCATATTCCTACGCATGGGTATTTAATTGCGCTGTCTCTTTGGCTAAATTTCAATAAACTTATGCTTAAAGTTACCTGAACCATCGTCTTCACTTCGCCAGAGGTTGCTGAACTTTCCGGGTCGTTAGGTTGGCAGAAATTGCTAGCATATTTTGCGTATCACACCTTTACATGGACCTTATTCTAATTGAGTATGTTTACAATTATTACAAAGACCTATTGGGTCAGGGGGAGAAAAGAAGGCTACCAGAACTTTGGACAATTAATTGAATCCTCGTGACTAAATTCCTGATATAAATATTTTACGAAAATACTTGTCACCGTCTCTTCCTCCAGGACAAACAGTTATCGCTACATCCAATCCAAGCAGTTGATGGAATCCTACATATTTCACTCTACAATTGAATAAAGCTGAAAAGTTCGATTGTTGTGGCTATTGCCACTGCGTCTCAAAGCCATTGTGCTTTCTTAATTTTCTTCCTTCTCTTTTTCCGGTTTTAGTAACCTCTACCCAGGGTGATCAAGTGATTTGAAAAATATGTTCTTACCAAAAACACTGGTCAGAGCCTAAACAAGGTAACCATTCATTGGATGAAATAGTAAAGTTGTTACATTCCATGCGACACCTCAATGATATCACCCTTCCTAGTCTGTGGTTTCCAAGCAAGAGATTTTTTTCGAAGTGTCAGACACAAATTAAATTTGCAGTACCATTCAGGAATGTGCCATATTGGTTGCGCTTTCCGGAAGATTTATTACCGACATTGAACAAACTTGGCGACTTAACAAGACTTTGTTTTTAATGACCTTTGGGCTTTCTTAGAAACCATGGGAAATTGCTTTTCGGCAACTTTGAAGTTAAAGAATGGAAAAAGCTGATATAAAAACTGCACTGGTCTAAACAGAATTGCCTTCTAGCTACCGGTGTGTTCCGGTTCGGTCTCAGTGTTATTTCACACTCGCGCTGATTTGATTAAGAGGTAAAATTTCCGCACAGCCCCATCCTACATTATGCCTTCAGTTCTTGGATAGAGAAAACAATGACAAAAACAATACATTGCCATTGGGAAACAGATTTGTTTTACAATAGTATGGGGCTGTGCGGAAATTTTGCCGAGATCATTAATATCAACAAGTTGTTTGATATATTGACACGTTGAACAAATTACCCAAACAGATGGCTCAACGACGATCTGTGTGATGCGAACGTTCTGCACAGATGGAAACTCCAATACCAAGTAGCAAATTTAGAGACGCTATGCTCGGAATGAACTGTCATTGTGCAGAATGCCTATTGTTCTTGCGTAATTTACTTAAATAGAGATCTGTATTATTAGTAGCGAAGCGTGATCTGGAGAGCTTTGATTGTTCAAAGATTTCGCAGGCTTTCCTCCTCAGGGAATATTGCTTTAACTCATTGCTGTTCAAGGCGGAGCTAAGAAAAAATTGCTTAGATAGTTATTGTTTATGCTCTTGTTAGAAAAAAATCACACATTACGTGTATGTGTTACAAGCTGGATGAGCGTTCGATTTTGAAACCGTCCGTTACATTTTCATCTCTTTCTGCGTCTTGTTCAACAAACACTTTGGTATTATCATTACCCGTTTATGGTTCGATTTTCATCGGAAAAATCCACCTGAACAATTTTTCTATGATAATAAGGACGTAATGAAGTCTTAAAAGTCACTTTGACACTTGTTTCTTCGAAACGAAAAAAACGTTACACACCGTGTTAAGTTGAAATCACGCATTGATTTTTTTTCTACTGCCTTAGTGTTGGTTTTATTCCCAATAAGCCTCCCGTGAGTTGTGTTTTCATTATTTCCTTTGAATTTTTTCTTGGAGGTCAAAGCCTCGAGAAGCTTAGCACCCCATAGGGCGTTTTGCCGCTTAACCCTTTAACTATAGATCAAATTTGTAATTCTCCTTATTGTCAACCGTACAATTCTTATAATGTTAGTTCAGAGAATTTAGTATTGGATCAACTAATTATCCCCAAATTGATATTTTTCTTTATTCTCATCACTTATCTGGTTGATTTTGTATCGATATTGTAAGGAGAAATTTTGTCTTGGTCACTCATGGGAGTTAAAGGGTTCGGCGCGGCGAGGGAGGCTCGGGTGGATCAGGATCCATTACCAAAAGCGCTCACAGAGATTTAACGCGAGTCAACCCCAGCCTCGTTCTCACGTGTGCGCGGTTGCATGAACTGTAAAAAGGTCTATTGACAATGTTGTCAAGAGGTATTTTATATAATGGTTGCTGAAGGGGTCTAGCTTGCTTGCGCCAGTCTGGGCCTGATTTTCTTTTCATATTATCTGCCTGGTAGTATTATTATGGAATATTTTGGCGTCAGGGAGAAACGTTTCTCATAAATGAGAAAAATGGTGTAGTTTGAGAAAATGTTTAATTGTGTGTATATAATAGTCACAACAAAAGCCAACGAGAACGCAGTTGACTATTTAAATTTGTTGTGTGGGAGAAATCACCATTCTTCGAGAAATTTTTACCTCCGTTGATGATAACATGCAGCAGTTCAACCTAACTTCTGTCACATCTTTGTGCTAGGTTCAGCAGGAAAGGAAGAACACACAAGCATAACTATCGTATTCATTTTTGGTGGCTTATTTCTTTGTTTTAGTTTCTTTTGTGAAGTGAAATGTGATTGAATGTCTTGTATTAGACTGCTGGCAAAATGCTCTGCTCTCGACTTGGAGCAAAATCTATGTAGACGAAACAGCACACATTTGTGAGACAAGATATAAGAAGTCTACACCGCTGAAGATGTCTGATCGAGTCAACTTTCTTTTTTTCGATTATCATCGGCTCGAAACAATTTAGGGCTGCTGTGTTGCTCTAAATCAGTTGTTTCGAACTTTAAAATGATAATCGCCAAGACAAAGATTTTTGTATCTTTCTCTGTGGTCGTTAAGTTGTTTCAGGCTGTGAAACCATCATACCTATGGACGTCTCTATTCTTTTTAAGGCCGCAAATGAAGCAGGCAAACGTATCGCCCCTCATTCCCAGCTTTGTCAGTCACCAGCGCCCAAGAAAATGTGAGAAAAGAAGACCTACTTTATTCTTCCTGAGGCACAGACTTTCAACACTTGGACTAGTGGCTTGCTTTTCAGCGGAAGAGAAGCGACGTTAACCTCCTAGGCAGTGAAGTTTTTCACTGATTAGAAAGTTGTTGTGTTTTTGTTTAGTTTTTATTATTATTATTATTATTATTATTATTATTATTATCATAATTATTTTGTCTTGGCAAGATCTTCAAAATTGTCACGATTCCTTAAACTTCCTAGTTGGCCAATTCCTTAAAAAAATTCATAAAAAATCTTCAAGTTTTCACTCAGTTAATTGACTGGTTACGTAACATGAAGGACACTATGCACGTTTTTCACGCAATGATAAATTCACAAATCACGCTTCTAAAAATTTCACGCGTAGCCGAATATGTTTTCGCTCTAAGCACGTGCTATGTCTTCATATGCTATCCTCATAACAGATAATCTGAGGTTTTCCGTCAAGACCTCTAAAAATACTTGTATCTATATCGGTTTAGGCAATATTTAGAGTCTGGTGATGTATGTTTGATTTTAAAGAACAATTTTTTCTCCCTGGATCAATTTAAAACAGTCCTCACATTACGAAAATATTTGTTGAATTGATTTTGCATGCGTACTTAGAAGTAGTCAGAGATTCCGTTTGTAACCGCTGAAAACTTATACTCCATTCACACCAGCAAAACACGAATACGGTTAGTTATACCGGATTTAGTTGAGAGAAAATCAGAAACAGAAAATTTGAATTTCCTGATAGGGTTCAAGTAGTTATGCACTTATTTTCATATTTTCAATATGCTACATTTGAAGGCGAGAGACATCAGTCCTGCGGCTTCTACGAAGAAGGGCATTTTAAACTGTGTTCAACAAAACAGCTTAAACGGCTGGATTAATAAAGAGCCGGCGTAAAAGTGCCCCATTACGTGCAAGGAAAGGTTCTGGTCTGGCTGAACTTGAACCAAACACTTTGCCGTCTCTAATTACCACACTGGCTTCAATTTCCAATTCTGATAACAAGTCAACTACATTCTTTCATAAGAATGTTAGTAACATCCCTTTTTAGTAAGTGATGATGTCGAGGGATGAGTTAAAGATAAGAACAATTACCCACCGTGAGCTAGCTTCTTTCCGTGTTAGAAGGCGTGAAAGCGATCCATTCAAGGGCAAAGCAGCTGCTCAAGTCAAAGGAAAAAACCTAGTAACCTGAACACTGAAGCTCTTGTCATCCCCTAAGGTCAAATATCTTTCTCGTTCCGCTTTATTGGACAATTATATAAATGCGTCAAATTTTACTGCTGAAGTATTTAGAACCTCATTGTTATAATTAGTAGGTGCTTAGCAATCACTGAGCAACAAAAGGTTACGCACGTTTAAGCAGCTTATCACGGGTTTGATTCCACAATATCACGAAAATAGCTTAAAAACTGCTGATAAGTTTAAAACATCAACTATCTTAAATACGCAAAACTTTAGACGGTTTGAAATGGCTGGAATCTCATTTGGTGGCTCTAAAACCAATTGGGCCGCAATATTCATTACGTCATTGGTCAAATATAATTAACATGAAGAAGACATTTGAATTAGAAAGAGTTCATCTAAAAAGGATTAACTGGCTCGATAAACCAATAGAGCCATCAAATCATTTCATTGCTGAGATAAACCAATATGATGGGATTTGCATCATTTTCAGACGATATCAATGCTTAGAAATCAATATTGTATGTTCTGAGGCCGTGTGTTCGTTCCCTAGGATATTCAACCCATGCAATACCTTGTAAATACTTAAAAGAATACAATCTGATAAACAACTGAGACCGATAATCTTTGTAAAAATTCCTTGACTTGGAATTTGTTGACCTCGGCTCCAGGGGATAAAGCCAGCATTTTGTTCGCCCCGCTCTTGGACTGATGGTATGTATAATATCATTTATTATATTTTCCATGAGTAAATTATCTTCAAACGAAGTATTTCTGTTTTAAACTTGTTGGTGTTCTACATTAGATCCCAGTGATTTTTCACACTGTGCGAGGCCTTATTCTTGCAGCATGATAACGAACATGTCTTTGACACTGAGCAGAGTTAGTAACACCCATAGGGAAACTTGGAGAGCAGTGATTTATCGGAACGATTTTTAAAGCATAGTGCGATAAAGTCGATGGTCTTGACCATACCGTCTGCCGGCTCTTGAAAATTATTTCAAAGTGATAAGATAATTTTTAGTCGTAACTGTGTTTCTTAGTAAATCGACTTGAAAATCAAGATATTAAATCAATATCTTTCTAGCAGTTTCTCCTTTCTTTTTTTCTAGCTATATATTACAGTCCTTTCAGAGCTAATGATGCAAAAATAGTGCTATTTCCTATTACGTCAAGGATTTTCCGCAAGAGTAACACCTTTTGTTCTCAGCCCAATAGCTGATACTTTAATAAGGCCATAAATTTAATCTAGATGACAACGTCTTGCTACAAAAAGAATTGGCTTGTGAGGTTGACGTTAACGCCTTCATTAAGGTTTTCTTATATTTCTGTGCCGCGCGAAAGCATGAGGGCAAAGGAAGCCTTCTGCCCTTTCCCCCATGGTGACTCAAGTCTTTCACTCTTTTATGTCGCCTGCCTAACGAAAATGACGACTAGTGACCAGGAATGATGAAGATTTCTATAGTTAATTACTGCCACTTTAATCGAGTCACGCTTACAATAGTGACGTCTGAAATGGCAAATGTCAATTTTCGGCCGACACGTTGATTTTTCCTCTCTTTCGCTCGATTTTCTCTTGATTTTAAATTGTTTCAAGAGAAAATAATGGCACTTCAATAATATCTTACTTAAACTGACTGCAAAACTTTATGATTTGACAACTTGCCTCAAAAAGTTTTCATGTGCCACGCGGGCTTGTGCTTTCCATGCGCATGTCTACTTTTTCTTTGCGGAGCAAAATTGTTTCAGGAATGAATTAATATTTATGCTTATAAAAGTAATGGTCTTTTGTGCAATTGAACCATTTAAGAGGTATAGCCATAGGATCTGTAGTCAGGGATTCAGTGTTGGTTAAACCTGTTATTCTGAGACTGGTAAGAAGACTAATTCAGCGCTAATCAGTCTCCTTTATGTCAATAGACTGATAGATTCAATGTCCTCGAATCAGTTCCTTTTTTCGATTGACTGCTAAAACCTAGTTCACTGGTTCATTTATATCGTAACACAGAGTAGAAGCAAGAGCAGAAACTCTATTTCTTCTCAGTTTGTATTTTCAGGAAACCTTTTGAGATCTTTTGAGTCTTAGATCGCGGAGTTCTTTCTATAGCTTTGTTTATCGCAGAGACATAAATGTTTAATTAAACGCACTGTCGAAGCGCTAGACCGTCAAGGTGTGGCAATTTTTGGTTGTATACCTGGAAATGCTCCAAATTAACGGAATTGTTGGATAAATAATTCATTTTCTGCAGGTGTGTTCTGGATGATATTTATACCACCATGCTAGGATATTCCAGGGTGTTACATGAATTGGACAGAAAGGAAAAAAATTCACACATACCAAGTCTTAACGCGGAGAAGACACGAAACTATTTTTTTCAACAAAATTTTAAAAATGAGGAAAAGTGCTGACAGCTATCTTGAGTATAAAGTATCATCTGCCCTCTATGGAGTCCGTTAATGTATGATTATAAACAAAATCCAGTTTACATTGACTGGTGGTTCTATTGATATAACATAATTTTAAGGTATCACCAACAACAAAGGACAACTTTTAGCTTTGACCGGCCGCGCCTTTCTAATAAAATAATATTTATTACAATACGATAATTAAGCTGAACCCCGGACTCAAAAGCTACTTTTGCCGCTTGTTTTATTTTTAAAAGGCTTATGAAAACCCACAAAAGCAATAAGACAATCGGCTCTGAGGCAATCAGTCTACGATTATATATATGTAGTGAAGTTGGAATATAGGGGTGGTGTCCGGTGATATCAGCCGACAACCATGTGAAAGATGGCTTGCAGATAGAAAAAAATATTATATATTGCTGTATCTTTTAAATGTAACTGGCACAAAGCGTAATATGATGTATAGTCTATGGAAATAAAAGGCATAATTCACACATGAATGGCAGCTAAGTTGTTATTTTCTCACCGTAATCTGTGTGGGTTTATCAATAATATCCGAAGTGTTCCCAACTGGATGTGACTATCCAACTTCTTGCCAAGTTCGTTCTAAATCAACTTGTAACGCTGAATAAAAACGGGCTACATTTTAAGCTTTTGATGTAGGCGCCGAGCCAAATTTGAACAAACCTCAACACCTCCAATACCACAAACATTGTTCAAAAGCTGTCTTCTCCAACAGGTGGTAAAACTGGTACCCGGTGCCCGCACACGCTTTTCAGCGGTCTTCGAATTTTTGGTTTACCTCTCCTTAACTCGACTTTAAAACTTATATTAAAAAAATTTTTTTTTTCAGTCTTTATTTATCAATATACTTTCTCAATTCAGATTAGAAGACAAGTCCTAGAGCTTTATCGTTTTGTTATTCGGGTTTATTTCAGCAAGAGCGCGCTGTGGGCGTCGGTTTGAAGCAGGGTACTTAAATAAGACAGTCACAGTCGCCTCTTTGAAGAGGAACCCGAGCGGTGAATGGCATGTGAAAAAACATTCGCACATTGTTGACTTTCACGTGCTAAAGCGAGACTAAATTGTTTATGTAAATTAGAACTTTTGCCAGAAAGAAACATTTTGGCGCTATAAAGTTGGGGTGTGGCTTCTAATAGATATCCCTAACTTAACAAGAGTTGTTTTTATTTATCGCAAAAGAAATCCGAAACTGTATCTAGAGAAGAACATAATTGGAACATGAAAATTCTTTAGAAACTAATAGCTGATCTCTACCTTGAGTGAGAAATAACAATTCGTTGATCGCATAACTATTTCAGAATTTGGGCTTGTGTTTTTCTGAGCTTCGTGCCATGAAGATTTAGTGCGTTCTCCAATTTCACACGAAATGTCCTTGAAATCTAAATCCTCACCTTGTAAATAGCCCTACTAGCGTATAAAATTCATCCAAGGCTTTAAAAAATCAGTAATTTAGTGTTAACAATTGAGTTGAAAACGTAAATTGGCCACCGTAAAGGTAGTTCTGTTATTCATCATCCTTATATAAAAATCAGTGAATTGATGTAAAATTAGTATTTTATCGATGAGGCGGATCGCAGTAAAAGGACGTTGACAACTTATGTCCCTCACTGATGGATAACAAAACGACCTTTGACGATCATGATTTGCTCAGAAAACAGTCAGCCCGTCAAATCATTGGTTGCAAGTATCCTTGTTTCGTTTACCCATCGGATTACTTATGAGAATTATACCCTTTGTCTTTTGTAAATGACACGTACATGTACTCATGCACGTGAACAGGACGAAATTTGAAAGAAAGACTTCTCTTGAATATCATCACATGACCTATATTGACAAAAAAAAGCTAATTAGGGAGTTATATTAAATATTTACTCTAGTCGGATAAATTCTCAGTTGCTCTGTATTAAGGCGGCACCATTAAACAACACTTTTAAAAATCTTCTGGCTGAAGGTACCGAGTGTTGGCAATCGCCTTACTCGGCCGGGTTCCCAAAGGAGAGCTGATCTCATGAAACAAAAATAACCACAATACAGTACTTACAATAGTCAACCATTTAAATTAAATAAAGCTGTAAATAAATACATATTTATTTTTACGTTTCCAATGCCTGACGCTAATCGGTAAGCTGTGTAAGGTCTCGTGGCAACCTGGTAAGAACCAGGGGTCTGGTATTAACTAGGACCCAGATCTAAACGGAAATTACATTCAATATGGCGTCCGTACTTTTGAGTAGACTGGCCGCAGATGGTGGATGTTCAAGCCGTCCTGACGGGTATACTGATGTCCTTCCTTAAATTTGTTATCCTTTTGGACAGACCGCCTTGTTTAAATTCTTCCTTCCGACTGCGATCATGTTTTATGTCAAAGATCAGCGAGAAAAATAATTTGTTTTGTCAAATTTTATATCATTAAAGGTAGCAAATACCGTAGTGGGGTCAGCAACGAATCGTGAGCGAAATAAGAGATAAATTTGACGGTTTGCGTTGTCCTAATTGTTTGCGGAAACCGCTGGTGAGGTGGCTGAATTTTTATTCCGACGATAGCAGATAAAAAAAGCGGCGTTTCAGTCTTCAGAGTATGCCGATTATGGCAAAGTTTCTCGAGATCTCGTGCGTGTAGAGCCGTTTTTAACCGCATGCACCACCTACGTGCATTACTTCCGGTAGCATGGTATTCATTATGGCTTGCGAACCATAATGACGATAACGATATCACTTTAACTTCAATTTTTCCTTTCTTAAGCTCTCGCAGCTTCCAAGCTTGTTTTCGCGCCGGCGTCAGAGCGCACACTGAACTGCCTTTAACACAAGTAAATTTATTGAAGTCATTGGTGCCAGTGGCTCGAACGATAATTCCGACAATTTTTGCGTATACGATTTCAACAGATACGTGACAATATTGCATTTATTTATGGTGAATAAAAAAGACGGAATATTGCGCCGCAAGTGTACGGCAAGAAATACAGGCAGGTTCATCTCTGCTCCATGTTTGCCGATCATATTCGATCCCGCTAGGAGAGCTGGAGACTTGACTTCCGGTGTCGCTCGTATTTGAGACTGGGTACGAAATGTTGTGTTTACATCGATCCGCTCTAAACTCAATTTTTGACACGTTGCCTTCCATGTAATACCTAACTGGAAATTTGAGACTTTCCTCTGGTACATCGTACCTTGGATTATTTAGTAATGCTCCCGATAATCGAGGATGAAGTGAAACGTTTTTACACCGAGCTCAACATAGAAAAACCCATTGTACAGAACCCATTCATTCACCGATTAGTCATCACTAGCTGGAAGAAAAAAATTGAGGTAAGCCTTGCCTAAGTTATTGCGTTACTACTAGGATTGATCTTTTCCTGACTAGGCTAACATCTCATAGTAGTGTTTATTTTGCTATTAGTTTACCAGAAACATAAAAACTGAAGGTGAATTTTTGTTATAGCTTTGATAGTTTGTGCTTGTAAACCGTCGTAATTGCAACGCTACCTCCTTGAAGTGAGAGAACCGTACAATGAGATGTCGTTATGAGATTCAACGTTGTCATAACTCAAAGTTTGTCAACCTTTCCAACATTAAACTACCTTTAATGCGAGAGGAAATATTTTCGCTAATTGTGTTCACATTTTCGATATGTCATCTCGCATCAGTATTCAATTCGAATGTCACCTGTGGACATGATTCGCTAAACCCACGAACACTCAACATATTTATTAATCTTTAACAATTTTAACCCAATGAAAATTTGTACAGCTGTTAATGTTCAAAAAACAATTTAGAAGTTGTTTCGTTTTCTATTGACTTTTCAATTTTCGTTTTACAAATAGTGAAACGTCATTTTAAAATACCCTTCTTTTCGTCTGCAGACAATTTCGCCTACAGGTTATAAACAATCTGCCAGTCTACTATTATTTATGGTAAACAATAGAGATTACCTGTCAAATGAGGCATTTCAATTTCTTTAACCCTAGATCACAGATAGGTTTTACAATATTCATCGTAGCTTGTTCTGAAGTGTAGCCGTCATCCTTTTTATTTTGTTCTAAGACAGCACCATTTAAAGTACGGTTGAGTACGGTACATTGCCAGTGATTTAATACACTCTAGGCTAAAACAAAAGGACTAGTTTAAAACGATATATTTGCATTTGTATTTTTACAAAAGTCAACTATTTTTTATTCCAAATAGTTTAGAATTTTTAAAAAGTTTAGTGTTCATTAGCCCAGTGTTAGAATCATGTTTTAATTAAGTCATTTATTGTTTAAACAAGACACTCATTGATAACAGTTCAACAACTGAAGTGGGTAAGCTGTCTAAATATTTTCAATTATCTTATGTGATCAGTGTAATTATCATATCTCTTGGTTACCATGTAAGCTATGGTTGGTCAATTTAGCAGGTTGTATTTCAGTGTACAGCATGTTACATTCAAAAGTTTATTTGAATTTCAATCTTCCCCCTCTATTTGAGATAAAATAAACATCTTACAAACCTTATCTTCTTAATCTGTAGTGTGAGTTACAGAACCTCTGCTCAGCTTTATGGTCCACAGATTCACGCTTGTGGCATAAATCAGAGAATAAAAAATGAGGTTCAATAGCTTACAATTAACAAATCAGTTTGTAAGAGGTGTTTATTTATCCACCTTTGAAAACAGGTCTTGACTGTTATTAGTTGTACTTAATAATTTATTGAGAATGTTTGAACTTTCAATCCTGATTCCACTGTTTTGTTTCTTTTGACAGATTTTCCTATGTTTGATATTCCTTTTCCCGATTCGCCTTTTACTCGGTATTTTGCTTTTTCTATTTGCGGGGATTTGGTGCTTTTTCACCACTGTTGGTTGGAATCCACAAGATTTAAAGACTCCCTTAACCCCATGGAGAAGGTACTTACAAATTGATTGTAAACTCCCAAGATCATTTAGTAGTTCACCTTACTGTCTGCCATGCAATTATTATAATGTTAGATTGGAGAATTTGGTATTAGATCAATAAATAATCCCCATATTGATATTTCACTGTATTCTCAACACTCATTTGCTTGATATTGTATTTATATGGTAAGGAGAAATTCTCTCTTGGTCACACATGGGAGTTGAAGGGTTTACAGGAAATGTCTAACTTGATATTCCATGCTCTTTAATACTATGGCTGCACATGTAAGGTATAATTTTGATGGAACAAACCCATTTTTTTTAATTGATTATTATAAACCTCATTAAAGTGACTATCATTTCTCCTTGAAATATCAGATGGATGAAGGACTTCCTTCCCGTTATTGTGCGTTCAATATTGTTTGCCCTGGGCTTTCACAGAGTGAAGATAAAAGGAAAATTAGCTCTCCCATCTGAGGCTCCTGTGACAGTGATTGCTCCTCATTCTTCCTTTTTGGACATCCTGTTGTTGAGTGAATATGGAAAAGCTCCATCAGGAATTTCAAAAATGGAAAATCTCGACAGCCCCTTTCTTGGAGGTGAGTTTGTTAGTGAAAGTGGTCATGAATTTCTATGCATCAATAGTTAAATACAGATAAAAATACTCCTACTTACCAGGTAAAAAAGTTAGCTTTGTTTGTTTTTAGTGATTTAGTTTTAGTGTTTTATTGTTAGTTAGAACTGTATAGTTATTTGATTAAATTATGTATTCTTAACTTTTATTACAAAATGTTGTAAAAAAAAAAATAAATGAATTAAAAATTATATCTAATTACTTTATGAAACACAAACTAAGTGAAATGTGACTATGATGTTCTGAACAATTATCCAATTTCATGTCTTCCCATGAACTCTCTTTGAATCACAAATAGTTCAGATTTGCCTAATGTATTATTTGAAAAACTTTTAGTGATGTGAATTGATTTTAAATAATGTTATGACAATGATTAATAGACCTCATTTATCCTCCTTCAGTTATAGCTATCATATGCCTTTTAACTTGATTTGCTCTTGCTGTCTTAAAAAGGGTCCATTAAGATTGAAGGCCTTGAGCAAGGCATAATTTTCACTATAACCAGTCTGCATGTATGTTATTATTGTTTTCAAATCTTATTCTAAAATCTCTGTCTAAGAAGTTAGAGGAGGCTCACAAAGTTGACATGCAATAATAATTTCATCAGGTGGAAAAATGAACCTTTAATTTCTCAAATAAGGTCTGGGTTGTAACACCTAAGGGGCACTCCTCTACCTAAATTCCCCTTAAGTAACCTTCCCCTCAGGTCAATAGTTATAGCCAGATTTCTTTTTTCAGGTTTTTTTCGATGTCTTGAGTGCATTGGTGTTTCAAGAGATATCACAAAATCCAGACAAACAGCTGTCAAGGATTTACAATACAGAACAATCACTACAAGAGGCCAGTGGCCACATATATGTATTTTTCCTGAAGGTAATATTTACACGTACCATTGTCAATCAAAATAAGATTGCCTGGATGATTTAAGTGATTCAGTTTATAAAGTTAGAAAGAATTGTTGCTTGTTAAGGATATTCATTTTTAAATAAGTTACTAGTCAGTGTATTCAAGCCTTCAGAATGAAATGAAGAACAGTTAATGTACAATGTTGTTCATTTGGACTGCCTTATCAGTTCTGTCACATTGATCTTGGTTTGAAACCTAACAAAAGTAGACTTAAAATACATTTAAGTTCACATGGCCACCAGGTGGACAGTCAGTCATGGTTTGATGCTACTTCAGTTTACAGATTTAATGAATGTAACTGAAGAAGTTACAATTCATAGACCCAACATTTTGAAACTCCTCTCTAGTGCCTTCATAAGGGGTGATCTAAACACTGCAACAAGAGGTCCTTTTGTATGATCACTAATTAGCTGTCTTTTTTCTGACAAGGTGTAAATAGGCATCAGGAAGTAAGCCACCATCATCACTATTTAAAGGAGCAGACTTGTTAAATTTAACTTGTAGAGAATAATGGGTTCTTGTGATGGGTGAAGGACTTGAACCTACACATTCAATGGTTGACATGACATGGTAGTTGTAATTATTAAGTTATGAAAGGCCCCAGCCTGTTTTCTTACTGGGTGTTACAATTTCCGTTACTCTCTTGCATGGCTCCCTCATAGCTTTCACAACCTGTTACAAGTAATAATATTTAATTAACAGCTGACTATGGCATACATCAACTGAAAGAATAGCTCAATTTCCCAGATGTTTGCCAATTTAAATTGTTTGTTGGTGACTAGTAGTAAATATCTGTTGTCAGTGATACATTTTCCAATTAGTAATAAGTTATTCTTGTTAATAATATCAAGAGAAAATTCATTGCAAAACTATTTCTCAAACTCTTTTATACCTCAGGTACTTGTACAAACAGAAAGTGCCTAATATCGTTCAAGCCAGGTTAGTCTGCAAAATGTCAACTAAGTCTGATCTCTATGTCAGTGCAAACATGGTGGACTGGGTACTAAATGAGCTGGTTTTGCACATGACAACATGAAACTTGTGAGTCTTTGTCATAACTTTCTCAAGCTCTCTCAGTACAGCTCTCTCAGTAACTTGAAAGCAATCTAGTAATGATTGACATTTTAAGCAAGAAATCATACCTTAATACAAATCATACTTAGGGCACAATATTGAGCAAGGGGCATTTCATGTCCTGAAGAATAAGGGAATTTAGTGAGAACAAGAATAACAGTCTGACACAGTTAACTCGTATAGGTGTTAGTTAACCCTTTAACTCCCATCAGTGACAGAGGTAGAATTTCTCCTCACATTATTAATACAATATCAACCAGATAAGTGATAAGAATAAAGACAAATATCACTTTGGGGATGATTAGTTGATCCAATACTAAATTCTCTGAACTTACATTATAAGAATTGTAAGGTGTCCAGTAAGGAAAGTTACAAATTTGATCTGGGATTTAAAGGGTTAACATTGTTTTGTATGGTGTCAATTAAATTGATGTAACTAGTCAACTTGACTTTTCATTTTCAGGAGCATTTATTCCAGGATGCCCTGTGCAACCAGTTTGTCTTCACTTTCCAGTAAGATATCTTATGTACGCTGACTTGTAGTAATATTACTTAATAAAAAAAATTTAGAGGTCTTTGTAAAAAATAAGTTTGCAACTTTTTGAAATTCAACTGTTAATTTTCATAGCAAGTTTGTGTCATTGACAGTTACAAATGTCAACTGTAAGATGTGAAACCTGGAAACAACTCAAATGTGTACAAAGTAGATTAAGAAAGAAACTAACTGACAATTACTTATTTTAGTTATAATAAGGATTTGTCACATTCTCTAGAAGGCAAGCTCTAGATAGCTCTAGAAAATGAAAAGTGATTCCTGTTGATGTTACAAAACCATAATCATTCTTTAACCTGAGATATTCATTTGCATACTAATACCTTTTTTTTTTCTCTCTTTTAATTTTATAGGACTTATATGCTTGGACTTGGGATGGACCTGGAGCGTAAGTTAATCAGATATGATTTCTCCATGCTGCATAATCATTTACCAAGAGAAATTGGGTGATTGGAGAGAGGGGGGGGCAATCAGGGCTCCTGCGGGGAGATACTGATTTCACATTAGAAGTTAATCTTTTGCTTGAGGTGAAAATTAAAGTTTTTTTTCTTTTGTTGTTTGCACTGGGAATTTTGCTTCAAGAATTGCTGTCAACTTTCTTTTCTTGGATTTCATTTCCATGGAAAAATTAATCTGGGAGCTGTTGTCTGTTCTTAGACTATTTCTTTCATTCAGAATATGAGATCATAATAAGTATGTATGAAGATGCGCTGAGAACCAACTTCTTTCTGAGATAAAGAATTGTGGAATAAGAAGAATTGCCAACTGACTTATTTTCACCATAATCTTGAATTACTTGACTTGCAAGGTTAAAAATTAATTATTTGCACCATAAGAATATCTTCAAATTTTTATTTTGTGCAGGTTGATATTGGGCCTGTTACTCATGTGTCAAGTGAATAATGAAGCTGAAGTAGAGGTGAGACTTTCAGCTGAGTATCTTTACAATAAGTTATTATTCATCTTCACTTTGGTGTGCAATGATTACTGGTGTTGACAAAATTCATTCTAGTTACTGAATATCACAATTGTTTTCCTAACAGTTTTTGCCTGTTTGGAATCCAACAGAGGAGGTAATTGTTTGTGTTCAATAGTGCACCATTTTCATTCAAGCCAATTTAGATGTCAGTGTCTTTCTAACACTCCACTGAAATTTGTGCTTTCAGGAAAAGGAGAATCCTAAACTGTATTCAGAACGTGTGCAAAAGTCTATGGCAAGGTATTTTGTCACTTAGTGCTATTATAGTTCAAACTAAATGTTGTTCCCTTACTGACCAAATTTCTGCTGGAAAAACTTATTTCCTTGTTAAGGGACTGACCCTCATCATGATTAAATTACCCCCCTTCTTGCTCCCTTTTTGTTTTTGGAGGGGGGGGGAGTGGTGGGGGGAACTGAAAGTAGTGACATTTTTTCAAAGAAGAAATTTAAACTTGCTTTAGTTAATTTTATGGCACACAATAGGTTCTTAAGATTTAAATTCAGTAACAATTTTTCATCAGATGTTTGAATGTTCCTGTGACTGGTCATTCATTTGAAGACACTTTACTAATGGAAGCGGCAACAAAGCATGGTTTACCATCTGAAGCAGGAATAATTGAATTTAAGGTCACTGCTACTAAACTAGGGTAAGTCTCCTTTGGTTAATGATATTTGGTTTGTTTGTGGAAAAGTTACAAAAAATGTCATTTTTACCGACAGGGTAGGACAAGGGTCAAGTTGGTTTTTTCAATTTAGTTGATAATGTAAATTGGCTGTAGTAAAGAGTTTTGAAAGCTGACATTTCAAGCATTAGCAAATGACAAAGGGCTAACGTCAGCTGTCAAAACTCTTTACAGTGGCCAATTTACATTGTCAATTCAGGTGATAAAACCAAATTATCTCATACCCCCCCTCTCCGACCCACAGACACAGTGTCATAGTTTCTCTCAAAGCTTAACCCCTTTGAACAAAGGGATGAGTCAGTGTCCTTTTCTTGTCATAAGCACATTTAGACATCATGATGAATATGATGAGGATGATTATTAACCCTTTAAACCCTTACAGTGACCAGCTTGTAATTTCTCCTTACAGTCATACTGCTGAGTCATTTATTAAGATCTTGAGAATAAAGGAAATGCCAACTCAAGAAGCTTTGATTGTTCATCAAATTCTCCTTGTTAGTACTAAAGGAAAATGCATGGAGAAGAGTGTGGAGAATATGGATACTGATGTTAGGTTTTAAAGGGTTAATCCTCAGTTTATTACAGTTTTAAGTGCAGGGATTTTCATGGTACGTTTTTGTCAAGAATGAAATCGGAATCAAATGAAAAGTTGATCAGTTATTTTCATCTCAGGAACAGTTTGATAATAGCTAACGGTAACTCCTACAGAGCTTGTCACTGATCTAAACAAGGAAACATGTTTCAGTTGTACTTCTCCCCAATTGTCTAATGCAGCGGATACAGGACCTGCTGACAGATGCAATGCTGGTTGTGCCTGAAATAAACTTGTTTTCTCCTGTTTGTAGAGTAAATCTGGATACTGTGAAGGAACATCTGAAAATGTTTGCCGTCCTGGATTCAGATAAGGATGGTTACATTTCGTTGAAGGACTTTGCACTTCATTACAAGTTGCCAACGTCACCACAATTAAGGGAGCTCTTTTCAGTCTTTGACAGGGTAAGAGTTCAGTTGAAGTAGAAAATACGTTACTGTAGTTTATCCATCCTTATGTTAGTAATCCACTACATTACTGTAAAACAGAAGTTGTTAGAAGAAGTATATTCAATAGACATAATCTGTTATTTATCCCTGTTTGGGTCTTTCATAGGAAAATAAAGGCGTCATCAGCTTCAGGGAGTACTTAATCGGATCGGTTTGTTTAGCCAGGGTAGCAGCTAAGAAGGAGGTGGCTGGCAGCGCATTAAAGGTAGTCTGTCATTTGCTTTACTTAATGGAACAATTTAGGTACAGCCTGCATCACATCACTGCGAAGGCTATGGGTCAGCTTTATTGCCTTCAGTAGGCCTCTGGTCCGCGCCCGTTTTGGCCACCATGCCGAGTAGAAAAAAAATGCCACGAAATTTGTTGGAGAGGTTTCTAAGTGGGTGACCTGTATTTGGAAGTTTTGTAACAAGCGGTAATGTGTCCAGTACTTCGTGTTGATAGTCTAAATGTCCAAGTCGTATACTAAAAGAGGAAGAAATTTAAATTTCTGTAGACGGCAAATTATAACGTTGATGTTGGCCCTATTTAGAATTGGTGCATCGATTAGAGAGGCGGTAGAACCCGTTTCTCAAGAAACCAGGCAGTTATCGGTTTTCAAAAGCTGCTTTTTACAGAATCTCGTGTATATAATCAAGATAGAGACATTAAGATAGTGTTGAAATTCACAGAATGAGAATATCACAGAAACTGAACACAATGGAATTTTCTTTTATCTTTTTCCAGCAATAACATCCCAAAGATTTAAATTTAAAATAAGGCTTCGGGTCCATGATATCACCGAAACACGGGCCATGTAACGGGATCTAACGTCTAGCAAGGTTGTATTCCAAACTACTCGGTAGCCCTGAGGCGGTAGCTGTTGCTGGTAAAAGCAATGTTTAAGTACTCGTCATTTATGCAACACAAATTCTTCAACCCTCTAGACCTTAACATCAGTCTTCTCATTGCTGTTCTCTATACATTTTGTAAGGTGCTGACAAGGAGAATTTGTTTTACAATCAAGAGCTTCACTAGTTGGTGATCATTTCTTCTATTCTCATAACCTTAATGTTTGATTCAGGGGTGATACTGTAGGGAGGAATTAGATGCTAGTTACTCTTGGTGGTTAAAAGGTTGGGGATTCATACATGTGGCACACATTATAACTCTAATTATTTATCAATTTTGTCAGGCTCTTCAAGAATATAGCAAACCGACGCGCAAGATGATTTCTAGTAACCAGCAGGAAAGTATTCTCAAGAGCGTGGTAAAGACTATTGATGACACTTACGCAGACAACCATAACGTGAGGAGTAGAAATGGTAGGTATTTTTACTTACAGGTGATTGGTGTTCAGTCTTAATTTTATTGTCATCCCAAAGGTTTATCAGCCACTCAGTCAGTCACTCAGTCAGTCAGTCAGTCGGTCAGTCCATCAATCAGTAAGTCACACAGTCAGTTTGTTTGCTAGTTAGCCAGCTGTTGGGTTAGTTAGTCAGTAATCTAGTCAGTCAGCCAATCAGACAGTCAGTCGGCCAGTCAATCAATTAGTTAGTCAGCTATTCAGTAAATCAGTCAGTTGTTCGAAGGGTGAATTAGGCTGTCCATTGGATAAAACCCTATGCGGTGGATATTGCAGTGAGTTTTGTTAACGCTTATCCAATTGACAAAGATTTATCTGTTAGTTATCAACTCTTCACCGAGGCGGAGGCGGTCTGCCAGCAGTAAATATCCACCGCTAGCCACCGACACAGAGGTGAATAGTTGTCTTATTATTTACTAAAACAGTCGGATAATATAGCACAAAGAGATGATTTTAACTCATGTATTCCTGCAACCATTACAATATTTTCGGGCGCAAGTTTCTCAGAGGTAAAGGATATTCGGACGCTTCGACGTTATCCAATGTTTTGGTATTAACTAAGTAGCGTCATCCACCCTTTGAAAAACTGGACCAAAACAGGTAGTTTGCCATCATCTCGTCTTTGTTCTTCGGTACGTTAGCCAGCCAGTCAGTCAATCAATTGGCCAGCCTGTCTAGTTGGCAGTAAGTCAATCTGTTAATTAGTCTTTTGGGTTAACAATTTTTCAGTTAGTCATTCTTTTGGCCAGCTAACTCATAGTCGGTTGGTGGGTTGTTCTGTCAGTAAGCCAGCGTGCCAGTTGACATAATTTTTTTTTCGTCTTATTCATATAATCGTTCAAGTTTCTTGGGTGGCCAATATTTCTTTTTTCATTCAGTAGCGATAACTACATTCTATAGCCGCAAACGCTAATCACTCGTATTTCAAACTTTTCTAGAACAAACTTGACACATTGTTGAATACGGTAACTGAAAATGACAAAATTACAAACACGCAAATGAGCATAAAATAACTTACATCGTATGAGTGAAAGTACTGGAAAACGACAAAGTGAAATAAACAAGGACACTTACAAGACGAATGTGAACAAACCAAAGACGAAATCATGAAACCCAGAGCTAGATATGTAACGATAATTTTCGCAAACTAGACAACTAACCAAATAAATTACGCGCGAACAATATATATACGATATGCAAATAAATATAACAAGCACTGGTAACTGACAAAGGACACTAATGAAGACGAGAAACTAAACACCTAACACGAAACTATGAAACACTAACACTAACAAAAAAATGATAATACAAATTCTTGCGCCTACACATTCCTTTAATCATATTTGTATTTGCAGAAGAGTTCCAAGAATTTCTTTCCAATCACGATGAACTAACTGTTTTGCTGTCAAGTGTGCTACCTCCAGTTGAAACTGGTGTGCAAGAGTCCAGACTCATCTAAGAATTATTACTATCAATGACTGCACACTGATAGTTGGAAATCTCGACTTTTGTATGAAAAATGTTTTTATAGGACTGAGTTATCTCAAAACTAAATGAGCAGGGATGTGAAGCAGGGAATAGAGCTACAATTTATCACCTGAATGTATTTGTAAAGATGTGAGATTTGCTTACGAATGAGGCGAATGCAAATAGAAGCTGCCCTGTGTTGAGCCCTGAAAATTGGAGTCTTAACAACGTGCGTTACAATCATTATTTATCAATTTGTTCAAATGGGTACAGAATTTTGTAATATGAAAATATGTCATAAATGCAGCCCATGAAAGTGCGTTAATTATTTATTATTTAATAGCCATCAAAATTATTATCGAGTGGCTAAATGGACGATCAGATTATTTATGTAATTTTGGGTTGAATGTTATTTAGACAGGGCAAATTTCCGGAATTTGACTTTTTTTTTATTACAGTGTTCATGAAAACGAAAAGAGTGCGAGATCAATGCGATAAATATTTGAGGCCCAGTGCAAACTTACAAATTAATAGTAATCTGTAAAAGTTTTTGTTTATTTTATTGAAGAGGATTCAGTGGGACAATTGCGAGCATCGTCTCCATTTAGTTTCCATTCGCTCTCGAAGCATCGTCTATCTGATTACCTTGTAGTAATTCGCCAGGAGTTGTCCTTCTGGTTTATTATAAAGCAGCTTACAAATTGAATTTGTCGAAAATAGATTCCAAGTAATTAGAGGATTTTATTTAAAAAAGAAATCACAGAATACTAATCAATGAAAGAGGTAAATAATATTGATAAGTGATGTTGATAAATGATATGAATAAATAGTATATAAGACTAAAGTAATTGACGAAAGCAGCTACTTGTTAGACACTGAGGGTATTTCCTTGGTGTTGTAGGGTCAAGTAGTGTAAAATCTAGATTCAGGTTTCTTGGGTGAGCAGAATTAAATAAAAGGAGAATGTTGACAGATTTATACAATTAATAGTACCTTGAATTTAATGAGATTTGATGAGAATAAATGAAAGATTTGCAAGAAAAATGTTCCTTGATTTGTCTCACAAGGAAGGATGTTTTACGATTGGCGCCGAAGGTTAACCAATATAAGTAAAAAAGTTTGTGGGTGCTTTGTATGCCTGCCCATAACCGTTTGCATTTGTAACGGTATTGACAGCGAAGTTCTACTATTGAAAAACTCACAATTGTACAGTATATTTTTATATTTGTCATTTGGATATACGACCAGTACATTTTAAGAACTTATGAAACATTTAGCGAGAAATCTAATAAAAGTTTGGTATCTTGGAAGTGGCAAAGAGTTTTTTTTTTTTTTAATGAGGCGAGGAGAAGCTGAAAACGGCCTTGCAGTATATCATTATGCGTATATGTTTTCTGATATCACAAGGAAACTCAGAAGTGAATGATACATTTTGAGCGCAGCTCAAGAAAGAGCAAGTTTGATTCGAGTGTTTTGATCAAAACTTATTAGGATATCTTAAAGTGCATCATGAAAGCTCAGTAATGTAAAGCTAGGCGCGTAATAATTTATGTCAGCTAGTGGCACGGCACTTTTGTCGCTCGCAATGCCTTCATCTTCTTGCTCGCTTGACTGGATGAACATGCAGGACATGTGAGATGTTCAGTGACAGCATGGACCGGACAGTAGCCTGGAACGGGGTTTTGTTGAGTTGTCTCGCGCACATTGCGTCATAACCTTTGATTATGACGTCAAATTTCAATTCGCTCTGTTTTGCGCATCTAAGTCCGTTATTTTTCGTGAGAGGAAAAACGCGTTGTTGTTGCAGTTTGGAAATTGACAATTCTACTTAATGTGTCGGCAGCTTACATACTTTGACAGTGGATACGTAAGCCGTGAAACAAGGTTAGAATCAGTTCTAATATCATTATTTCTCCGCACTCGAAATTTCTGAGCAGAAAATGTATGAAATAATTTGAACCTTCTCGTTAAAGCGCTAACTTTTCTTAACCAATTACGGTTTTACCAGGTTTTTATTTGATGTAAGCAAGAAATTTAGAAGGAGTCTAAAACCTAACATAAAGAAATGATTAACCGATGGGGCAGTTTACAAACTTTTCAGACAATTTCAGCCCAGGAAACAAGTTGGCGGTTGCCATTGTGGTCTGCGCTGGTCACGGTTGCGCTCGCACAACTAGTGCATGAGCCATAGCCCACGTAAGTTACCGGTACTTCATATTTGAAGCAAGTGTTTTAGGTCACTTTCTATTTAATCATACAATCCATAAATTTCCGACGTCAATTATTTTGTTGCCGATCACAAAACGTGCTTACTTCTGCTTATTTCTATACCATCATTTTATTATTATATGAGTTTCATTCATACTATTTCTTTGAAAAGGAAAAGCAATTGAATGGCAAAAACTACCGGCTCTCAAAGACTTCGACGACGACATTTCCGTAGTCAGTCATCATTCAAACAACAAATCAACCGTTGTTAGCCATATGAAAGTCGTTTTTGTAGTACCTAATTTTACGAAATCGTTAATCAGACTCGTAAGCCACTTTATTCCTTAGGTGGAAGATTTAAAAAACGTTTTAACTCAAGAGAAAACCGGCGCTTACTCAAATATATAGTTAGGCTATTAAATGTCGAGGGAGCTGGCTATCGATAGTAACCACGCTCGACGAAAGGGATAGGGAATCTCGAGCTTTCTTTTTCTATTTGCTTTAATCACTAGGTTCTCCAGTACACAACTCTACTTACATCCAATTTTAACTCTGGTCAATCTCTTAAGCTCTTACACTTTGATTCTCACTGAACACTTCGCATTGACTTGTGCTGCTAAACACTGTCTCGCTTCAACTACGGAATTTTGACTCCACTCTTCTACACACTGTCTACATTCTTCTAATGTATTAAGAGGAGAGATTCTAAAAGAGTGAAACAGGCAAGAGTGGACAAACAGTACAAGAACTAGAGGTCCAACCGGGAAGGTGTGACATATGAGGCGGGAGGCTTCAATGATCTTGGACTGAACAGTGGACCACCAAGAAGGAGAAAAAAAAATGAACAGACATAAAAACCATTCCCTGGTGACATTTACTGCTGTTTGGTATAGTATTATGGTAAAATATCAAAGCAAATCAGTAGTTGAGAGAATGGAAGTAATTTTCATTGTTTTTTCTCTTTTACAAGTGTTTAAGGCTATTTTCTGAAAAATGGCCATTTTTCCTACTGCCAGTACTGCCCCCTACTTTTTTGTCACTTAGATTTAAGGTATGTTAGTCAAACTTGGCTCAAGTGTTTAACATATAGACTACTACAACTTAATGGGACAAAATTAGACCATATAAAATAGAAGCATATTTACAGGCAAAAACGTAAATTAAATAGTCATTTGGTTGCCATGACAACAATATCCGCCGTAACCAAATTTTGCCCCATTAAGTTGTAGCCCCTTTTATATAGAGTTGATGTGCCAAACATAAGTTTATTTGACTGCATTTTCATTAGAAACAAAATGGGGCAGTGTATTAAGTCTAACAATAATATTTTATTTTACAGGGTTAATAATTAACTGCATGCATGGTCAGCAATTTAAGATCAATATTGAAGAAAGCATAACCAGGTGCCTCTTTGGTGAAAATGTGAGCCATTTAGGCTAAATATTGAATTTTGTATGAATTTTAAAAGTTTTGGTCACAATCGTCCTAGTTTCAGACCAGAATGCCCCCTTAAGTTTTAAAGAACACCCCTATACATTATTGTTGATAAGCATCATGGTATGGGTGGGCATATTAGCCGACTAACCTTGGGACAATGAACAACAACATACTTAATGCTTCCGATCAACTGAATCTTCCTCTAACTGCTTTAACCAGAACGAGGAGTTTCGTGTGGGTCTAAGACAAGGTCAGAAGACAAACGAAGTCAACTATGGAAGTTAGACAAGACTGTCACAATTTGGTAACTCATCGCTACAAATAGGACTTTGAATTCATATAGTAACCACAATCCAAATATAAACTGCGAATGACTGAATCATACTGAGCTGACTTACTAACTGACAAACTGACTTACTAAACCAACTAAATGCTTCATAACAATAAACATCTTGCAATCCAACAGACAAATTTTCCATGAGGGTCAATAGCTCAAGAATTTTCAAAGTTTCTCTGTTATTGCCAAAAGAGTATGTTGCGTAGAAAATCTCTTTCGTTCTTCTAAATTTTAAGTTACAATTTTTCTCTATCTCTCCCCCTACGTATTCGTTTTACATTCACGCGCGGCGCGCGTGATTTCACAAATTAGCCAATCATGTCAAAGAACTTTAACCTTGACATTAGTAAACTGACGTGGACATTTTTCGCGTACTTTTAGTTTTGTTTTTCTCGGAGTTTTAGCTAGTTGTTTTTAAGCTTTCGTTCGCGTAAATCTGTTACTCCTTTGTTTGGAATTCAAAGAAGTTTCGAAGTTTTTATTTTAGCCAAATGTTGCGGTTTGACAAGTTTATTACGTATTTTCTACGGAGTTTGGACTCTTGTCCTTTTTTTTGTAAATTGATTTTTTACATGTTGTAGGCACTCAAATGTTGTCGTAAAACTAGTACTGTCCTACGACGAAGGCCTAACGATTTAGCGGTCTACCTTATATTAACGATGCCCCAAACCCTGGAAAAGTAACATAAATGATGTTGGTTTAATTTTTCTCACGTTTGAAAGCCTACCTAATGTCTATTAGAGGACAGTCCCTCATTTTACAATTTTACAGTTTACTTCCTTTTGAGATTGTTACCTTTAACGATTTAAGAAGATTTAAGAATACCTAAAGCCAACTCGTGGCAGTAAAGTAATCTAGAAATTGAAGATCAAATATTTTTTCCTTGAAATACGTATTGTCCACACTATTCTCGCACTTTCTGCGCACTTTTCTCGCTTTCCCCGCACATTGTCCGCATTTAGACTGCACTTTTCTCACACTTTTTTCGTACTTTGACTGCACTTTGACGGCATCTTTCCCGTACTTTTCCTACACTGAATTGAACGCTGGCTTACCGAGGTCTTTCGGGAAATTGCTATATGGCTTGCTGAGAAAATATGGACTGGACTGGATCTAAATTGTTGGCGGAGTGAACGTGGATGTAAACGAAATGGTCGGTGGATTGGATATGGGATACTCTTAATCGGTTTCCTAATCCCTTTCATCGTTCATTTCGTCTCTTTTGAAAACCATTTCTTTTCGTTATTAAAAAAAAAAGGCAAACCAATGCACGAGCCTGTCGGTGAGTACGTTTTGAGCCTGTCGCCAAATTTTGCAATGAATATGTTCAGCAGAAAGTCTGTTGAGAAATACCACTACGAATTTCACTGTGCAAACCCCATTATATTATTAACTTGGACGGTTTCAGATTCAAGTTCAGACATAAATGTCACAAATAGTTTGTGTTGTTATGATCACTTCGTTATAATAATAACAATAGTAGCAACATTTAACATTTATACACTTCGTTATAATAAAATAATAATAATAATATTTAATATTTATTTTGCGCAAATTAACATACAGGAGGATATAATCAAATACGCTTTACATGTTAAAATTGAATATGAAATTACTATGTCACCTTTTTACAATTTTGAATTTAAAATAAAATGCGAAGATGTATATTATATGAAACACTAAAAAGAAATTACAAATTAAACGCTTTCCTAAAATAGTTAGTTTTAAGCAATGTCTTAAAGGTGTTGAAATTCTGTGACTTTGATGATTGCGGGAGACTGTTCCAAATCTTGGCGGATGCATTGGAAAACGCTCGATCACCAAGCGTTTTTTTCGATCGTCGTGAACGGTCTTCCAACTGGATATTGGTGCTTGAGCGGAGGTTTTATGTCGAAGTCTTCTTGATGGCGACCATACTTTTTAAATAATTGGGGGCGTGTCCATGAATGCACTTGAAACAGAGCATAGCAATCTTGAAATTGATTCTAAACTTAATCGGCAGCCAGTGAAGACATATAAATGACAATGTGACTTGTTCATATTTTGGCAATGAGCACACCAATCGGACTGCCGCGTATGCACCCGTTGGAGCTTGCTAAGGTTCGTACCATACAATAGACTATTGCAATAATCTATTCTCGACATCACTATTGCCTGAACAATCGAATTTCTATCTTCATAGCTAAGAAATATTTTCATGCACTCAATATCATGCAGATGGTAAAGTCCCGGTTGACAAGTCTTGTTGATGGCGGTTTTATGCTCAAATGGTTGTCGAACCACGTCCGTAGGTTCCGAACATTGCATACTGTCGACACTTTCACGTGATCAATACTGAGCTCTGACATGCCTATCTTGTCCAACTGCGGTTCCGATTACAATTGATTCCGTTGGTAATGACCTATAATGCTATTATTTGTTTGTTTGTTTTTTGTCATTCATCTTACGTTTTTCAAAAATTAGTCGGACAACTTCTATGTTCGGGTACTCTCTATTCCAATTTTTTTGACTACGTAGGTTGTCTATGTACCACGCGCAAAGAACATTGCCTATTGTATGGACTGACAAACAGCCAGCTTGCAAGAATTCAGAGAGTTCTGCATGCTTCCGCCAGGCTGGTATGTAATGCGCCTAGGTTTTGTCACATTACACCAATAATGCGCGATTTGCACTGGTTGCCTATCAGGGCACGCATCAACTCCAAGGTACTTCTCCTCACGTTTAAGGCGTTACATGGCCTTGCACCTCAGTATCTACGGTCCTTAATTAGTATAAAGACATCATGCTGTAATCTCAGGGGTTCTAATACTCTACTCCTAGCTATGCCATCAGTGAAATCTAAGGCCACGCTAGATGATCGGGAATTCGCCGTTGCGGCGCCGTCATCGTGGAACTCTCTGCCTTGTGAGCTTCGCTCAATCACATGTGTTACTAGTTTTAAAACTCAACTTAAGACCTATCTTTTTAGTCTTGCATATACTTAATAGAGATTTTATTAGCATATTATTAACATTTTCTCTTTTCATATAATATATACTTTAGTTTCTTCAATTCTCTTTAATATAATATATACTTTAGGAATGTGCATCTGATCATAGTCATGTAAAGATGCGCACTAGAAATGAATAAATTATTATTATTATTATTATTATTATTATTATTATTATTATTAGAACATGAAGAACTACCAGATTATCCCAAGAACACCACCTTCTCAGAGTACGAAGCCTACAAACATTAATTACTAGGTCTGAGGAGACCGGCAACGAAGATGATGAAAATTATACGGTGCTTTACAATGAGAATAGCGGTACAGGCCTAGAAAAAAAGGTATTCGTGCCTTTGGATTGACGGTTGGTAAAATTTTGAATGGACTAAAATGGTTGGTGGACTAGATGGTTATCACCAATCACGATCACGATCACGAGCTAGTTTGACCGAACTGATGTACAACGGATCACTTTGGCTAGAACGATAGAATCGTGTGGAGTGCAATTTGGTGTGTAATCATACCAGTAATTACAAAATCGGACGACCGCAAAGTGGGAGTCCGATTTGTCAATCACAGGTATGATTACGCACGACACGAAGTCCTGTTACCAATTAATCATAACCATTACAATTTCTGAAAAAGAACAAATCAAAACGAGACAAAACAAAAAAAACAAATACTTTTATTTGAGAAACGGTTTTCATCATAATCATCCAAAAAATTATTAAAATCCTGAGCAAAAGCCAAATGCAGAGTTTGAATAAGAAATTCCCTAGTTTTGTATGGTAAGTCGTTGTTGATTTGGTCATTTAATCAATTCTGTGATCGGCGGATTTAGTTGAGTAGACTTGATATGATTGGCTGCTTTCACTGTCCGATTATAGATGTTGGATTACAGCCAACTACCCGACTGCAACTGTACAGAATAATTAATGAAAATTAAGGCAGCGAATGCACCAGTCACATTTGAGGAAACCGTAATGGTTTTGATTACTAACGATGTTGTGCGACTTTCAAAAATGACTTTGAGTGGAACATTGCATGCTGGTGGTGTGGACAAAGGGGTTAAACTGAATGGTTGGCTGAGGTTGCAATGTCTATACTACAAACAAGTCTTCGATGGAGGCGGATTATGCACAGAGAAACAAGAAAACATTTCAGTCAGCCATCTTTATTTCTCGCTCGCTCTCAATGCCTTAGGGTTGCGCATGCACAGGTGACCCAGTTACAATCACTAAAGAGGTCTCACGGTTAAGTGCTACATGGCTCGCAGAGAAATCATGGACTGAATCTTATTGGTTAGCCTGGAGAACTTGGAAGGGTACGAAGAGGTTGATGGATTGGAATCACTTCCCTGATCCAAGCCAGAAACTATTCCGTTTCTTTAAAAACCATTTAATTTCTGAAAAAGAATGAAAACCTGCGGAACCTGTTTTTAGGTAAGTTTTGGAAATAACTGAGTGCGTCACAATGTTTTAAAATAAACTTGTTCGCGGTGAGTAGAAAACCTGTCGAGAAAATACCCTTGTAGGCCATTTAGCCTCTGGCTTCGCATTACTGTTGTAAAAATACCACGAAAATAATGAACTAAATTGTTAAGTGTTTTTATTGTATTCGAATACTCCCTATAAAAGAATTGGGATTATTCCCCTAAGTAGAGCGCGTTAGAGACTGGACTAGTTTAAAACATTCCTGCTTGATTTTTATTCCTCCATTCGAAGAGGCTTGTATGATTGAACAATGAAGATAATCAATTAGTGAAACAACAGTAGTGTCGGACAAAAACTGAGATCTAGCGCACGCGGTACTAATGGGGCAAGAGATTAAAAGAAAAAAATTGTTTCGGATTCCCGACGTCGAACTCTTTCAAATTTGTGCAGTTTCATCTACCATCGCTTACATGCTTTTCCCCAAAGCCCTTTGAAAATTCGCGATTAATTTATCGTTCGCCGGCGAAAGATGACTCTACGTGCTTGTTACACAAACATCTGAGGCTTCACCAGTAAACCAATAAAAGTTCGATAGATAATCTGTAAAGGCTTTATTGTACTGGATATTACACGATTTCAGGGGAAAATGTACAGAAATAAATATCAAACAAAATGTAATTAAGACTTGTTATCTGCGTGGTTCTGAACCTGGAAGTAAATATGATGAACTGAAACATTCATGGAAATTAAAGAGTCCACTTTAATTTCTTCATTATACTTAAGTACCATTGTTAGATGCAATTTAAAGGGGTAACTACAATATCAGTTCTTGCAAAAAACCACACATGGCGATGCTGTTTTTTTCCAGTAAATTATTAAATAACTCATGAAATTATATATTATAAAGAGATTACGACAACCAACTATTATTACTGTTTGCGTCTAGTTGACAATGCATAGGACTTGAATTTGGGTCTGAGCATTTCAACGGCGTCCATAACTTTGCCCCCATTTTTCAGTGAGGTCTCTTTCTACTCTCGCATTCATGAATTAATTTATACGCGTGTTTTCTAACTTGGACACCAGAGCTTTGAATAGTCTACCCACGACTTCAGAATTTGAGTAACCTTCGACCGAAGATTGAGATGCAATAAGCAATCGAAAATCCACTTCTAGTTCCTTTTCGTTAAGCACAGAACTCTGACACATTTCAAGAAATTTGGTCGGATATCTTTTAAGGTTATCGTCACTTGGGAAATTGCGTACTCTATTGTCTAAATTCCTAAGAAAAGGGATACGTCCAGTCCTTGAAAAAATAAGATTCCCTTCGTTCAAGTTCTTTAGACTGTGCGATATCCTGAAATACTGGGATGACGACAGTTTTTTCGGTCAGGACTTTGTAAGTGTTTCTGGCATGAACGGAACACGTTTTATGAATATTTTAGCGACTCTACGTTTATGTGATTATGGACAAGATATAATTAATGAATAACATAGAGCACGAAAAGAACCTTGTAATCCTCTTTTTGAATTGAAACCTCTGATGAATGAATTACAATTGGCCTGCGAGACCTACTTTGTACCAAAACAAAATATTTCAATTGATGGAAGAATGCTGGCTTTTAAAGGACAAGTTGGAATGAAACAATGTATAAAAGATGAACCCACTAAATGGGGCTTCAAATTATGGATTCTTGCTGGGTCAAATTTAGGGTACACTTATAAATTTCAAGTATATACAGGGAAACGCCTTACACCAACCACTAATAGGTTAGTTGGGATATGATGTAGTAATGAGTCTGATGGATGGACTTTTTACGCAAGGGTTTCATTTATTTTGTGATAATTTCTACAGTAGTCCTAAATTATGTTTGAATTTGTTTTAAAGGGGTTGTTTTCTAACAAGGACAACACATGAAAATAGAATAGGCTCCTCCAGCTAAGGCAGAACGTGGAACCTCCAGGTGGTTTCGCGATGGGCAAATTAACAGTTGGTTCATACGTCAGCGTGCGTTCATCGAGATATCAAGCACGCGGGAAGTTTGGAGAGCACTCAAGAAGCTAGAGTTGCTCTCGGCTACGGCTCGAGCAACTATTACGCATCTTTCGTGCTCTCCAAACTTCCCGCGTGCTTCATATCTCAATGAGCGCACAGATGACGTATGAACCAATTGTTTTATAATATTTTCAACCCCATGGAAAATTTTTCTCGAGGGATTTGTTTGCTGACGTCATGAGTGTGCACAATAGGAATATGAAGCACGCTCGCGCAATTGAATTTGATTAGACAAATTTACCAGCTATGCTATAAAGCCTCTTTAACAAAATAAATGTTTTAACGCATTATTTGGCTCCATGAAAAGCAACCTCTGCCCTTTCCTTAGGGAAAAAAAAACTTCACTTTAAAGTACTTTCCGCGCGGTGATCTTTCCGATCACGTATTAAAATTTGTCCCGGAATTTTCCTTGTCCGCGTGAAACAAACGCGCCTATCATACAAGCACGTCAACGAGATCGTCACCGAAACGAGGTTGTAAACTACTTTGCATATAAGTTGTTTTCATGAAAAGGTCACCGCAATCTGTACGAGGCCTTTTAGTTGTTATTACAAATATGCATGATTTATTCGGGACTTTTAATGTGCTTTAATTAAGGTAAAAGATGTCTGCAGCGCCCAAACCTAAAGTCCTTTTGCGCGCCAAATCTCTCGTGGAGCCCGATGTACACAATCCGTTCTCTTTCAAGTTAAAGCTCACACTCTGCGACAAACTCAAGGTAATTCAGTTTATCTTTTTTTTTCTTGTTTGAAATGTTAAGAACACACAAGAATTAGAATGGTAGCAGTATTGGGTATCAAAGAACGCATTTGTAACGATAAATTTTGTCCACGATCGAATTAAAATTCACAGTGAATTACTTTTATCTCAGCTGTCCAAACAGTATCAATGTAAACAAACATCCATCCCGCTGGTTCTGAACAATTTGAAAGCATAAATTACGCCTCGACGTCGCTCCAGCTTTACATGTCACTTGAGCCAAAAAAAAAAAGTATCCGTAAAAAAAAGTCTCTTCTAATGGGCCCTATAGGGCCTCTTTACTTAGAAAGCTCAGTGTTTTAAGCTCTTAGTATTATACTCCTCATAGGCAAAGCCACTGTGTGAAGAAGAAACATAATTTTAAGCGTGGCTCTTTGAAGAATCCATAGATATTGACAAAAATGTTCACACAATGTTGAGGTATTGTTTGTTTTTTATGGGGGAGGGGGGGGGTTAGGGGTTTATAGGGAAAATGGTATCGGTTGCATAAAACAACTGAATGCCAGGTTCTATGATGGCTTTTTACCTTCATTTTTAATATGTATCATAACTGCCAGTCCACTTCATTCACAAACTACTTTGCCAAATCCATTTGCTTCAGCAGGGTTGTTGACAATGTCTCTCTTCCTGTAGAAGAGGTGAAATCTTCCTTCACAGCTCATGCATTTAGATAAAAAAAACTTAACACTCTTTTGTGTGATACATGTAGTTGTTTTGTCTTTAATCATAAGGATAACATTTATAACCATGTTATTTGTATACAATTGTTTTATTTCAGGTTGCAATTCTTAGTGTAACACTGTTTCCAGTCAGGCTCCTGTGCTTGTTTTTTCTCCTCATTGTGGCCAGTGTGATAGGAAAACTGACTACCCTGTGTATGAAGAAAGAAGAAGAACCAGAACCACTGTCAGGATACAGAAGGTGTTATTACCATTATTTTGCTTGAGTTATGTCAGGTCTGTAGTGCAAAAATTAGTAAGATAAAGTCTGAACTTGAGCATGTTGCTCATCCACCTAGAGCTTATTCTGGCTTCCATAGCATAAAGACACCAGGAGTATCACTACTCCCACCCTGAATGGGATACCATTCCTTTGCAAGGTTTCCTTGCAGAATTTCATCAGAAATCCCTAGTGCATGTATACCCTTATATAATCCTTGTTATAACATAGCTAGTTAATTTGTTTAATCAAATTCAATTGTGCGAGTGTGCTTCATATTCCTATTGTGCACGCTCATGACATCAGCAAACAAATCCCTTGAGAAAAAAAAATTTTCCATCAGGTTGAAAATGTTATAAAACAATTGGTGCATATGTCAGCTGTGCGTTCATTGAGATATATATGAAGCACGCGGGAAGTTTGGAGAGCACTCGAGAAGCTAGAGTTGCTTGAGGCTATGCCTTGAGCAACTCTTACGCATCTTTTGTGCTCTTCAAACTTCCTGCATGCTTCATATATATCTCGATGAATGCACACTGACGTATGAACCAATTGTTAAGTGTAGAGAGGCACTGTGGAAGGAAAGTGTTTTTTCCATAAACACAACACCATGACTTGGCCAGCTAAGCTAAGGCCACTACTTCTCCCCTGTATCATGCACAGCTCTCGTAGATGTACCTACAACTGAATAAAAGGGGTAAGTTTTTAAAGAAACTGTGGTGCTGCATTGGTGGGAGAGTATAACTGGGTAATCAAGTATTATCAATGGAGTTTATAATATAAAGAACATAATAATACTTACGTTTCAAACATTGGCCCTTTGTCATTTGCTCTGATGAAGGGCTAACCTCAAAACATCAGCTTTGAAACTCTTAATGGTAGCTACCAGTAATTTAAGTACCTACAACTGAGTTTGAAATTAATATTCCTGGCTGTATGCTGTAGTTTTAATTCCTGTGTCAGCAACTGTGACCAAAGCTTTTATTATAATCAGCATGCTGTGTTTTCATGTAGGATCATGAGAAAGCCACTTCGAGGTATTGCACGGGCAATGTTATTCTGCATGGGTTTTCACTGGGTTAAAGTCAAAGGCAAACTGAGCAGTTCAGAGGAAGCTCCAATATTAACTGTGGCTCCACATTCATCATTTATTGATGCCTTGGCATTGAGTGTTATTTGCTTACCTTCAGGAGTTTCCAGGAAGGAAAATGATTCAATACCTCTTGTAGGGGGTTAGTGTGAATTCAATTTCATAGCATTCTAAGTTAACCCTTTAACCCCTAAAAGTGACCAAAATCTTATTTCTCAGTACAACATCACCCCTGAATCACACATGAAGGTCATGAGAATAAAGGAAATGATCTCCAACTAGAGAGGTTCTGAATTTTTTTAAAAAATTCTCCTTGTCAGTACAATAAAAAATGTGCAGAGAACAATATGGAGAATATGCACCCTGAATGATGTTCATTAAAAAGGGTGTTTTGCAAAGTTGGTGGATGGAACATGTGGGACATTCTGCACAATTTTATGTATGAGTCGGTCTCTTTATCTGTACTAATCAGAGAGAAGTTTTTCTGTATCACTCTGGTACAAAAGTACAGTATATATTTATGTCATTATAGTAACATGAGAAAATAACATCATTTTATCAAAAATGTTTTTCATTTGAGAAGATAAAAACTAATAAGATTTCACTGAACACCTGGCTTTTCTGTTTGGTTGTTTGAATGCCTACCATTTATTAGGGGGCTCATTATTCTTCTAAAGAAGATCAGACAATTTCAGGTTTCTTACCAGAATCCTCCAACTAAATTTTGATGACCAGAGCTATTTGACAGATTTTGATGGAAATAACCAATTTGATTATTTTACTGCTTCGACATTTCTGGATGAAAAATCTTTTTAAAATTCTTATTTTTACCTCATAGAAACCTTTTAATTGACAGTTGAGATCAAATGAATCCAAACCATCAAGTAATCAAACTAACTTCTAGTTTGTCTTAACTTGTTACAGGATGCATACGTGCATTACAACCTGTGTATGTATCAAGAACAGATCCAAATTCCCGAAAGAAGACAATCTCTGAAATCAAAAGAAGAGCCAGTTCTGGTGGAAAATGGCCTCATGTGGTGATATTTCCAGAAGGTAGGTAGTGTATTTTATTCAAAAGTGGATCATTGGATGATGCAATTCAAGAGTTTTCATTGCCATCATGGGCTATGAGCCATTATACCATGCACACACATGAAGACAAGTGAAACTGGAAGTGTTTTTTACATTGTAACATTCTCTTTGTTCTTACAAATTAAAGTTGGGAAGAGTATATTTTGGGTGTTTTTGATGACACAAAAATTCCACTCATGCTTGTTGGATATGAGATGATTATAAACAACTTGGCCCTACAGGCCTCGTTGGCTATCTATCATCTCATATCTAAATTGCCCGCTTGTGGAATGATTGTTTAATATCCATGACTATGTACTAGTTGAATTATTTTTCTTACTTTCAAATTTTTCAGACCAGTTCAATTGTTTATTATTGAACTTCATTCTGTATTCTTTATGATTAATCTGACTCAAGCTAAGAAAAATCAAACTGATTTGAAAAGTTCTAAACAGAGAGTATCAACCCCAAGTAACTGTCTAATGCAATACTTTGCATGTCTTCTTGTAGGAACCTGTACTAATAGGAAATGCCTGATCACTTTTAAACCAGGTTGGTAACAAATATTAAATCTTATTTTCTTTTAACTCTTTATTGACCACCATTTGTTACCAACACAGAATTTCTCCTTACAATACCAAGCAGACAGGTGATGATAATATTTACTAAAAATATCAATTAGGGGATTATTAATTGATCCAATACAAAATTCTTGAAACCAACCTTATGAGAATTGTATAAAAGACAGTAATAAGAATTACTTATTAATAAGATCTTGGGAGTGAAGGGGTTAACCCTTTAACTTCTGTGAGTGACCAAGACAGAATTTCTCTTTACTATATCTATACAATATCATGCAGACAAGTGATGAGAATAAAGAAAAATATCAATTATGGAATTGCTAATTGATCTGATACCAAATTCTCCACATTAACATAATAAGAATCATTTGGCAGACAGTAAGGAGAATTACTAATGAGATCTTGGGAGTGAAAGGGTTAAGGATTGGCACAAAGTGGTTTTCTTTAGAAAGAGCTCATGATCTGGCATTTAAGAAGCTTTTCTTTGGCATTGAGGGATGACGAATTTGAGCTGTTAAGGGGACTGCATATAACTTTGAAATGTCTTCTATTTTATGACAGATGTTCCTTTTTTTTTCTCTGTGTTTGTAGGAGCATTTTATACAGGTGTCCCAGTTCAAGCTGTGGCATTAAAATATCCCAACAGACTGGTTAGTGTCAGGCACAGCTTACTGACCAATCAGTTAAAATATTGATGTGCTATAATAATAGAGAAATAATTTTGACCACAGAGTGACAAAAAGTTTTTAGAAGAAAATCCTTTCCTAAAATCCATAAAGAAAAATAATAGATTTACATCATTTTCAATGATTTCTCATAATTTCAGAAAATTATGTAACACCTCAGTGTGTTATACCACACTCTCCAATTGTTGTTTTTGTATTTTTTATCTAAAAACTACAAATTATCAAAAAGAACTATTCTAAAGAAAGATGTGTGGGACAAAGAAAAAATTCTGAGTCCCCATGAGGAATCAAAACTCAGACTTTCAAATTCTACACTCTGATGCCCTACCACTGAGCCTCAGAGACTCTATGGTGAGTGAGGTCCATTACAAAGTTCATATATGACATGCGTTTTCCTTTGTCCCACGCTCGTGACTAGACATAAAACATCTTTATTTCTTAACCAAGCTCAAAACTTACCATCTCTCTTATTTTATTTAAGCACTATTCTGTTTTTGATTAACAGGACACTGTGACATGGACATGGTCTGGCCCAAGTGGGTACGTAAGTTTGACTTGTTTTAACTCTTAAACCCTCAAGATCTGATTGATAATTCTCCCCTTTAGCTGCTACACATTTCCTTGTAAATTTGTTACAAGAATTTAGTGTTTGGTCAAGATAACATTTTTTACCCAATAAGTTTAAATACTGTCACCACCTTTTTGTTGGATAACGTTTGGATATTGTAGGGAGAAATTACATTTTAATCACCCTTGGGAACTAAAGGGTTAAGTATATTGAACTATAAGCCATGCAGTGAGTTCTTAGAAAGACAATGTTTAAATGGTTTTGTTGAACTGTGATTTTCTGACTGACAAGCTGTTGTTAGTAATGTACTGCATCTGTGGCTTTGAATTGAATGCATGATACTACCAAATTGAAGACATCCTTTGAGATCTAAATTCTGAAATTGCTGACAGAAGTAATTTGGTTTGCACAGGCCTGAATAAGTCCATGATGAATCTGCCATTGATCATTATTATATCTTAAATTATTCTGTGGTGTACCTAGAGATTGAAATATTATCAGTTTTTAAACTTGTAATTCTTTTTATTTAGTAGACCTAATTTATAATAGATTATTCTAAGATAACTAATTTCTATCTAGTTTTATTAATACCCTGTACTTGATTCTTTAACAAATAAATGATTAAAATTGTTACCTTTTAGACTAACTCTTCTTTGGTTAACACTGTGCCAGTTTCATAATTACTTGGAAATTGAGGTAAAAAAAGTGATCATGAAATCTTCTTTCATTTGATGTGATGATATCAAGAGAGGATAGAGTATATCCTCATTTTGAATATATCTATTTTAATTGACAAGTGATCAACTGCTTTTCTTAGCTTGTTTGTAAAGTTTTGGGTTTCACCATTTGCTTCTGATTGGAATGTCTTAAATTTTCTTTTCCATGCTAGATTCTGCCAGTTTACAAGCCTGATACAGAAGTAAGTGACATTTTCTATTTTTGTTTTGCTCTTATAACAACTACATGTATATTTTAACTGAACTAGCAGTAAGCTTTAAGCAACAAGTTGTAGACTGTTTTCTGAGTATTCAAAATATATTAGTTTCCTATTGAAGTGGCATAGTTTTTAAGTTTAGTTTGCTGGTTTTTTACAAAAAGACAACCCTCCAACTTGGAGGAGATGAAGAGGCTAAAAGTTTTTCTTTCTTTTTAGGAAATCCATGATGGAAAACTTTATGCAAGGAATGTTCGGGAACAAGTAGCAAGGTGCCATCAATATTAAGTTTGTCTTTTGATCCAATTTGTAGTACTGTTTCCAGTTTAAGACCCTTTTTGTTTCCTAAAAGATCCCATATTTCCATACTTCTGATCACACTTTTGAGAGGGGTGATTAGAGGCGTGTTTTAAAGTTGGAATCACACTTGTGACCACATATTCTTTTTAATTTTTTTTAGCATGGAAATTACAATAACTTGGTTTTTCCCTTTTCCTTTTCTTTATAGAGTATACCATTATTAGCTTACCTGCATAACAGGTGCTCTGAGAGAACTAACTAAAAGATTTGTTCTGTGGTCACTGATACATCAATCATTAGTGTGAATTTGAAGTACGTAGTTTCTCCCTCTTGCAGATTTCTTAATGTTCCTGTCACTGAACACACCTATGAAGACACAAGACTAATGGTACAGGCCTCCCAGCAGAACCAACCATCCATGACAGGCTTGGTAGAATATCAGAAGATAAGCAGCAAACTCAGGTCGGTGGATGTTCTCATCCTTTTCATCCTTTCCTTTTGAATTGCATCTCACACATAAGGCACCATTTATTGAATAGAATTTAGGAATGAAAAGAGGCCCGAATAGTAGCTACAGTAAATACTTACAGATCTAACTACGAACGCTCACAATAAATTTTGCTTTACAAGCCTGCCTTGTACGTTCTTTGTCAAATGTGTGGGAAATCTTTCCTTAGCTACATACGAGTTTAAAATCAGATTGCTGATCAAAGTTGAGGATGACTTAGGACCGATCACTTTTGCTTATTTTTCTAACAGCATGAAGATGGATACCATGAAGGAGCTGTTGGATAAATTTGCAGAAATAGACGCTAATAGAGACGGTTTGGTTGATATAAACGAGTTTGCCAAATATCTTAGCCTGCCTGTCACTAGTCATGTGAAACATCTCTTCACACTCTATGACAGGGTGAGTCTTCAGTGAACTTTTAAGCGATAATACGACATTAGGCTCCTTACAAGAAATGGCGGCTGTTATTTTTCATGTGTGCGGCCTCAGGTCAGGTACGCGCGTGTTTACATCAGTGTTGGCAATTGGGTGCTTGTTTTTGTTCGTTTTCGGTTGCACGTGCGTGCATAGGAGTGTATTCGCGCGTGGGTTGACGTTTTTGCTGGTATCACTTCTTGGCGGTAAGGAATGTCGTGCACGAGCGTGATGTGGAAGAACAGGTGTACATTTTTTGCTATGCTTTATGCTGTTTTCTCTTTAAGGAACGAAAATTCGTATGCTTCACGCGGATTTGATACCACCAACGCTTTCTTGATCTCAAAACAATACGGACGCTGCGATTAAATATTTGCAGTTAAAAGAAAAGAAACGATTTTTTTTTCTTAACGATTAATGTTTTCCTTTAAGGATGATTCAGGTTTCATAAACTTTCGGGAATATCTTATTGGCTTGGCTCTTGTGTCGCAACCAGCGAACAGTGAAGAGGCTATGAAGCTAGCTTTTCAGGTTAGTGTCAAAGAACCAAGTAAAATACCTTTTGAATAAACAGTATGTTAAATATATTTGTTGTCTCTTTCCCTCTGATTTTAACTCTTCTTGCGAAGACAGTTTTGTTGAAAATCTCTGGAGCTAACGTCTGGTGGTAGTTCTTAATTGACTGCTCTAAAAGCAAAACCAAAGTTATCACAACAGCCAATCATAACAAAGTTTTGCGTCATCAAGAGCCAACGAGGACTCTAAGTGAAAATTGGCAAACTACCAAAAGCGCAGGAAAACGCGGGCGACCAAGTCACCATTGGTTTTCGTTTGGCGTCTGATTGGTTTAGAGCATGGCATGATTTTTCTGGACCAATCACAGACCGAAGTAAAGCAATCACGGATTACTTTCGACGCTTAATTGAATGTCACTCCATCATTTCATTCCCTTAAGGTTTTTGATATGAACGGTGATGGGCGAGTGGATGAAGCAGAACTACGTCATATTCTTCAGAGTGCCTACCCTTCCATCACAGACCTGAACATAAACTGTTTGTTTAATCAGGTGGATGTGAACCACAGTGGATCCGTCACGTTTGGTAGGTAAACTGATGTTTCTTCTTACTTCAATCTTCAGTTCAAAGAGTGTCCTTGATAGCTAGCAAATTCGCCAGCGATACTGACGCGCGTGTTAGTAGCGAAGTGATCCTCATAGGGGAAGTATATATAATTGAAGAAATTGCAGCAAAACAAATCTGAAAAAAAGAGTTAGGCTTTGACTGTATTCGGACTAGGCCTCCACATCGGGAAGTGGGGTTAGGCAATTTTAATGGGCTTCTTAGTGTTTCCGAAGAGGATGTAATGAGAACCAAACATAAGAGTTACAAGAAAAAATTTGTAAACGTACTCACACTACATATTTATTTTTACTCGTTAACAGAGGAATTTCGGGATTTCACCTTGTTGCACCCAGAGTATGCCTTTCTCTTTACCCATTACACGAAGGAACAAACAGAGATAACGGGAGAGAGCAGTCACTCAGATCATGAACATCCACAAACAGCAGCCAAGGCTTGAGAAACGCACATAAGGAGATAAAAATCCATTGCGTCTCTTGCCAAGATAGTAAAATACAGCCTTAATTATCTCTTCTTGGGGTTCCACACGTTAGGGACTGGGTTATTACCACTTTTTATGACTTTGATATTATTCAACGATTATTAAAGGATATTAACGGCTTCTTAATAGGCCATTTCCGAATTAAGGTGCTGAACCACTCGTATGAAAATCATATGAAAGGATGAGCACCAGGACTCGCTTTGAAAAAGAAGCCAAAAGGTTCGGAAATACGTTATTTATTTGGTCTGTAGGTTTTGCTGTATTGAATTGGCCCAGTTTTATGGAATAAGCAATTTTCCATCACTGAAGACTTAGAAATGTTAAGATTAATGCAATAATTTTATTTAAAGAATTGCCATCAGTTCTTAATATTTAGGTTTACTCCTTAAGTTTTAACGCTGTCTAAGGCATTTTTCAGTTTAGTATCAAAAGTGAACCTGGATTGCTTCGGTTTTGCTTTACTTCGCCCTTCGATTGGTCTAAAAAGCCCGCGCCACCATTCCAAGCTATCAAATGCAAAACTAAAACTAATCCCAATTTGGTCACTCGCATTTTCCCGCGCAGGTCGCATGGTGTTTTTTAGTTCTCATCGGTTAATGATGATGTCAACCTTTGTTCTGATTGGTAGATGTGATTGGTTGTTTTGATTGGTTTGGTTTTGGTTTTGGCTTTGGTTTTGCAACACTCAGCTGAAAACTGCTCGTATAGATAAAAGTTGTCAAGTGATTCATTAATCATCGATCGTTTTCAAAGCGAAGAAAGTTTTAATTTTACCGCCAGCAGTAGCTCATCTTCGTTTGTATAAAGGGTTTTTTTTTTTGGGGGGGGGGGGATAAGTATAAGATTTTTTTTTTAAAGATAGGAGACGTTTTCTTTGTCTCACACTCTTGATAAAACGTATACATATCAATGCAGTTTAATTGACGACCGGGTTCAAATTAACTATCTATTAATTTATTCACTTTATGGCTTATTTATATATTTATGAAACCGCTTCTATACAACTTTGCACAGACGTTGATTTCTTTCACATCTACTCGACAGTACTGTACGCAATTTGGTTTTAATCTGTTTTGCATTGTAATATATACTACACTGAAGATAAAATTGATGACATATGCCAAAATTACTGAGAGGACTTCTGTTAAATTGAAAGAAGTTTACTTGGGACGTGACTAACTTAAAAGTGTTTACGTCCGTGATCATAGAAACTATCATTAAGAAAAGCCGATTCATTAAAGTTATGATCGTGAAAATTACAATTTTTTCGATTGTGACAGGGCTAAAAATTAACTCCAGTGCTTGAAGGCCAGTCGGGGCAAGTTTCCTTGACTTCTTAGTGGCCCATCCCAAAATGAAGTAGCCCTCGATTTCCTCTAGTTTAAAATGAAAAACTTGAATGAACGCCCCAATGACTTTCATGGCATAGAAACGAAGAGAAAGTTAGTCCAATTAAACTACATATTGAGCTTTATTTTTAACTTTGTATTTCGCATAATTTACATTGCAACTTTTCGAAATTCTGTGGCATAGTCGCACATCGGGCGTTCAAAACTTAGCTTTTGGTAGCCCTGGTCAGTTTTAACTCGCCACTGGCAACCGTGCGACCCCCAATTTTTAGCCCTATTGTGATTGGTTTAAGAAACTCCTATTTTCCACTAATTCACTTGCCAAGTTGTTGTCCGACAGTTCGCGGAAAGTTCGATGAGCCAATGACATCCAAAGCTGTAGTTTGAATTAACCAATCAAACAATTAAAGAATTTACGCCTCCTTCCTCAGTTTTTTAATGTAAATTTTCCCTTTCTTTTATAACTTGGCTATTCTACTTTTCTCGGCTACTGTAATTTTTATTATTAATTGGTAATAAGACATCGTGCCGTCCAATTCGGTCTGTAATCAAACTCGAAGTAAACGCTGTCGTCCGATTTTGTTAATCACTGGTATGATTACCGACCGAATTGGACTCCACTCAGTCCTATTAACATAGCCTAGGTGTAGCCGTACCCTCCCGCGCAAGGTGAAATAGAACCGAGGGAACGTCCACGTTCCCTCGCTTCCATTTCACCCTGAGGGGGGAGGGTATGGCTACTCGTAAGCTATATTACCATTACTTAACAACTAGGACAGGACATGCTAATTGATTCGGGACGCTTACAATTAACGACACTGGTGGAATTGGATTCAGTTAATAACTTCTGGGTATTACACAATGGTAGTTTAACGAAAGCCTAAAGCAGACAAGTAATTGGTAATTGCATGCTATCATCATGCCGCGATGATTATTTTCCTTTTTTTCTCTTGATTTCATTTTTTTTGTTCGAACTTTTTCCTTCTTTTCATCTAATTAGCACTCTCCCTTTGCATTCTTTTTTTATCCATGCGCGGCGCGCGTGATTTCACAAATTAGCCAATCATGTCAAAGAATTCTAACCTTGACATTGGAAAACAGACGAGGATGTTTTTCATGTACCTTTTTAGCCACACACGTCAAAGAATTCTAACCTTGACATTGGGAAACGGGGATGGGCTTTTTTCCGTACATTGTTTTTTTTAACGGAGTTTTGATAGTTGTTCTTGACCTTTCGTTAGCGCAGATTTGCTACCCCCTTGTTTGGAATTTTAAGAAGTTTCGGAGATTTTTGGTCTGGCCAAATGTGGTTCATTTAACAAGTTAAATACATATTTTCTTCGGAATGTCGACTCTGGCCTCTGTTTTCGTTAATGGATTTTTGATAGGCGTCAAGAGAAATGTATTTATTCAGTTCTCCGTGAATCGTCATTAGTTAACATCAATTTTTACAAAAATTGATTTAAAGGTTCAACGAAGTGAGTCCTTTACAAATACCAGTGGTAACACATTTGTTTTTTCGCTCAGGGTAATTTAGTTTCATTAACCGAATTGATAATACCTAATTACCTTGTTACACTCTCATACCGACGCATCACCACAGTTTCTTTAGAAACTAACCCCTTTGTCTACTAGACTCTTTTTTCAGATTTTCAGACAGTTAGTTGAAAAAAATATGAAAGCGAAGTGAGTTAGCAAATCTGAGAAATATCGGCGTAATTCAGGTTTTCAAACATACGCTAGCTGTCAGAGCAAATAACGAAGGGCTAACACTCGAAACTTCAGCTGTAAGAACTCTTAAGGCGGCCAATTTGAATTATCAATTTAATTGATAAAATCAACTTATCTTCATTTCAGTCGTCAAACTCACCACAAAAATCAGTAATGTAATTATCAGTCAAAGTTCAAGAGTGCAATCACGATTATTCAAACTACCCAACTACTCTTTCGCTCCGCGCTTCTCTCAAAAAGCAATAATAGGAAGAAAAATTGACAGGCTGAAAAAGTTAAGACCACAAATAAAATTGACAGAAAAAGAAACTTCTTTTCATGTTGCACTCCCGGCCTTAACTTTTCTGTTCATTCTGTATCCTGGAACTTTTTAGCGGCAACATGGTAGTATACATTGGTTGGAAGACGCCCTCCCACAACTGAAGCGCCAATTCTTCATCAATGGTTCGCCATGGCACTTCGGACTCGAACTTTCTGAATCCAGGAGGCGGGTTTGCATGTAGTTGTTGAAGCCGACTATTTTTTGTCATCGCTCCTTCGTGATAACTTTGGACATTGCATTCGTCAACTACGCCTTTGCGACGTAAAGACGCCATTTGCTTCTTGCTCCTTTTTAGAGGGGGTTCTGCTTTCGTAGCCGCAAATTGAACGCTTCTCCTTGGCCCATCACCTTTGTTATTTTTTTCTTTTACTTTCCTGCTGATTTTAGATGAATTTGTCCCCATTCTTTACGATAGTAATAAAGATATCCCGATTCTGTGTCAATGGGTAATTTCACAAATTTACAGTCAAACTTTCCGCAAGACTCAGTATTTCACTCTTTGGTGGCCAAAGATAATGGAAAAACGAGCTTTAAATTTTATTTACTGCAATTATCAGTGGGATAACGCTAATTAGTAAAAGTTAATCCTTTTAAATATGAGTCCAACCTTTTTTTGTCAACCAATTACGTCAAGGCACTTATTTGGGTTCCTCGTGTACACTTCTAGATCAAACAGTGTCAAAGCCTCTGAGGCCAGTCGATGAATAACAGAAAAACGAGTGCTAGTTTTGGACTATCTTTTTTCAGAATCAAGGCAGTTAGGGTGCGCGACTACCAGAATGCGCAGACGCGTGAATTAAGGAATCGCTAAGATGTATCTGTATGTTCGTCGTAAGTTTTTCGGGATGTCCGTCGGTGTGTCACTGACACCGATTGTTTGTTCTCTCTTTTTTGAGGAGAACATGGAAAAATCTAAAAAAAACTTCTTTTACCTTTTATCGTAATGACAACCACATGTCACCGATCGTAAAACTGAATCGAGCAACGTTTCATACCGGTGAACCAATCGAATGAGTTCTCCTTGGGGAGGTCCACTGAAGGGGAGGAGAGTATTATTGGATATGGGGCTTACTGAAAATCCTCGGGAAAACACGGGATCATGTATACTTAGATATCTGTCGGTCGCGTATCGATCGATATTATCGGTCGACGTGTCGACCGAGTGTCCATCGACCAGTCGGCTGATACTCGACCAGCTTATCGACCAAGTATCGGTCGACATGTCAAACGAAATCGGTTGCCTCTTGACCGACACGTAGACGGCTACCATTCCAAAACAACACATACCACCGACAGTCTACCGATACACCACCGACACTCAATACACTGCCGACTGTTGATCGCAATGTAACGGTCGAGGTGTCGGCCAAGTGTCGACCAACATACCGAACAGGTATCGACCGAATGTGGCGACCGACGGTCAACCGACATGAATAGCATGGCGACCGGCAGTCGGCCGACTATATATCGACTTGTCAACCGAGAATCAACCGAATGTCGGTCGACTTGTCGACCGATAGTATCGGTCACTACTCGGCAGACAGATGCTTTAAGTACCCATGATCTAAAATACGAAGGTTGTTAGTCGCTCAGCTTTCATGAATCAGTATGTACATGCACTTTACTTTGATGAGAGAACATACATCTTTCTCTAATGCTGTTATTAACGTTTTAGGCAACACATGTTAGTTAGGGGGTCAACGTTGAATTTGTCCCGCATAGGGGTCCACATTGGACCGGGTCCACATTGGGGTCAAGCAGAGCTTAAAAATGAATCAGAATTAAACTGGTTGGAAAAGGCTCATTCTTGCTACTCCGCAAAAAAGACTTACATCTCGATCGACAACAGTGTTTTCTTTTTGGTTTAATTTCTGTTTTTGAGGGGTAGGGTTGGGGGCTGGTTGAAAGTCTATCCTTAACAACAATAGCTGAAATAACAAAAGTGAGTGAAGTGAGACAACTGTTCAAATATAATTTGTTCCTGACCATTATGAGGCGAACTTCTTTAATTTTGTAAGTATTAAGTAAGTGTACCATTGGGAGATATGAATAAATTTTTCATTCTAGATAATATTATCAAGGTAGAGAAAAAAACACAAACAGCCACTTGGGAAATTGCATTGCTGCTAATGGTCAAAAGGGACCACAGAGTCGAATCTTTTGAACTTTCATTGACGCTATGTTAATGACTTTTCAACGATGAACAGCTCTGTTTTAAGTCCGACAGCAGACTCACTTAAAGGAGAATCGAATGTTTTCTTCACAGCCTTTGGAGTGCTTGTAGTCACCCTCACCATGACGGTAACACTTCTCGGCGACTGTTTGATTTACGCCGCATTCAACAGCAACGCGAGTCTTCGCACAAGGGCGAACTTGTTTTTCATTTCGTTAATAACAGCAGATATCTTTCAAGCGTTGTTGGTTATGCCTTTAGAATTGGTTCGTATCGTGAGTGAACCTCAATGGCCCATCAGTGACACGATGACAAAGTTATGGAACTCCATGTTCGTTTGTTTTGGCACGGCGTCGGTCTGCAATTTAGCAGCTATTAGCGTGGAGCGATACGTAACAATTTCACGGCCCTTGACACACCATGCAACTATTATCACGAAGGAAACATTTGCAGCAGTTTTACTTATTTGGGTTTACGCTCTAATAAGTAGCATTCTCAGCTTTTTTGCTTGGAAAACGCCAAACGCTCTAAATCCTGGATTTACCATTTCACTGACTCACGCTATTCCGCTGTTGTTGCTCGACATTTTGATGCCGTTTATTGTGTGCCTTGTTTCATACGCCCTAATTTATCGAATCTCTCGGCAACATTCGTGTAGAATTGCTCTTTTATGTGGCTGGACTCCGTTAGACGACCACAAGATACAAATTGTTAAGGAACGAAAATGCGCCAAAACGCTAAGTCTTCTTGTAGGAATATTTACTATATGTTCATTACCGTTTTTTGTTTTTCACGTCGTAAACGTTTCCCGTTACAATGAAAAGCTTCCCTGTCGCCGATATGTGAGCCAGATTGTCAAATGGCTTTGCTATATCAACTGCGCGTGTAACTGGGCGCTTTATGGATTCCTAAACCAAGAGTTTAGAGAAGTTTTGTTTGTTATGTTTAAGAAATGCCACCTACGTATCATATCACTTCTGCAGTCAAATCGCGTAGTGCCTCTTTCGTGAGAAACTGGTCAAAGATGAGAAAGAAGACTGAAAAAATATATATAAACATTTATCAATTAAAAAAAAAATAAACAGAACCATAAGTTGCCTCATCAAAATTTCGTATGTCACTCCTTTAGCTTAGAAATCATGAGTAAAACCGGCCGGGACTCCTTCTAAATGTTGAATCGGCATGTTTTACAAATTCACTTGAAGAAAAAATAAATAACAATTGGTTCATACGTCAGCGTGCGTTCATCGAGATATGAAGCACGCGCGGGAAGTTTGGAGAGCACTCAGGAAGCTAGAGATGCTCTCGGCTACGCCTCGAGCAACTCTTAACGCATCTCTCGTGCTCTCCAAACTTCCCGCGTGCTTCATATCTCGATGAACGCACAGCTGACGTATGAACCAATTGTTTTATAACATTTTCAACCCGATGGAAATTCTTTTTTTGAAGGAATTTGTTTGTTGACGTCATGAGCGTGCACAATAGGAATATGAAGCACGCTCGCGCAATTGAATTTGATTAGACAAATTTACTAGCTATGTTATAATAGCAGTTGACTTATTATTAACTATCTAATTTTCGCGAGAGAGGGGTCAGAGTCAGTGTTTTCTTGTTGCATGATAGACAAACGCTAGATCCATTCTCCTTTCAAGTAAAAGAACTCCTAGAGTGTTTTCACCGTGCACTTTGATTTTTGAAGGAATTAGCGCCCACATTAACGTGTGAACGCCCCGGCTGTGAACAGTTTCGGAAGTTGTCCTGTGACTTCTCTGTTCTTAGATAGAACAAAGAAAATCGAAAACTCTATGTGAGGGCAAAACTTGGCATAACTTCGATCTTCAATCACAAGAAAACTATGAGAAACCATGAAAAAAAGAATTGAACCACCACACTTATCAACGATCTGTCTGTCATAATAAAAAATATATATATATTTCAAAAACATAACACTTAACGTATCGTTGGCAAAGAATTCAAAGTAGAGTTAACATTGAATTGAAGTAAGAGAGGTTGTTTTCATTCGGCGATGAGAAAGTTTAAAAATGGCCATGGCCATATCAGTAAAGATAATCCTGATAAAAAATTGAACGAGGTGAACTGCTTTTAAGCTAGCGGGAAAAGTAGTCCATGCCATCTTAAAATGCACTCACTTCCGGTATACTGCGTAAGCTTATTTGAGGCCCAGGACCTCTCGTCGTCGAAATGTTAACAAGTACGCCTGCCTCAAAATTTCCTTCAGGGCCCCAGAATGTGCGATGAAAGCGCTTCCGGCATTAGTCATCGAGAAAGAAACACTCAATTTAAATCCGTAACATTGTGCTAGAAGATCTTGTCAATTTTGCAAGCATTTTGAATCGTTGATCAAGCGAAAAAGGCTGCTCAAGCAGGGGAAAAATACTCTAGTGTAAAGGTGTCATGCTCCAAGAGTACTTTTTCAACGTCGCATTGTACTTGGATGAGTTTTCATAGATTTCTCTGCATACAACACGATGGTATCACGCACGCAATGTGGAATACCTCTTTCTTTTGCAGGAGGTTTAAACGTAAGTCTTTCAGAAGACATGGAAGATGTTGTTTATCGCGAGATGCAGTCAGGGAGGGAGGCCATCCCTGGTTTGGAGCGGAAGTTTAGTATGGTCATGAAGGATTTGTTTGAAACGGAGCTTCTGTCTATTTTTTATCTACAAGATCCATATGCTATATTTTCTGGAAAGCTCAAAGCGAATTTGGTCGGAAGTGTCAGCGAAGGATTTGGTTTTCCTGAATATATTCACTGGGAAGAAGACAGTTCCTCCAGAGTTGCTGTTCGTGATGAGGCAGATTTTAACCTTGTCTGGAGTTGGCTTAAACTTGGAGAGGATTATCCAAGTTGCAACTCAAAAACTCAACTGGACGGTGTGGTCGAATTCAGCTCTTATTTCCCAGGTTATGCCATGGTCAAGTTGGTGGCTAATGAAGCAATAACCCGCTGGATAGATCTTTCCAACACTGCCGTTAACTGTGATGGAAGCAAAGTCGAAGTCTACCTACATCCATCTGCTGTCACTGATGAATTTTACATGTCTTTGCATCTGAGGAGTGTACTTAGTAACTTGATCGTGAACAGCATTGGAGAAAGTAATGACGAAAATGCAAACTGTTTCAAATCTGATGGCAACTTTGACAGAGAGGGAGGTGAAGAAAGTTCTAATTGTGACCAAACAAAATTTAAGTTACAGGTAGAACTTTCCTCACATAAATTCAGCAAGTCTGCTTACGAATCTGGAAGGAACCAGATTTTGTTTTTAGTTGATGAAGGAGGACCAGCTGTAAATGTTACTGTCTTTTCAAGAGAAGGTGGAGGTACTATGCTGGATATGGCATTATGCCTATCACTTCCTTCTTGGCCAACAGTGGCCAGTGAGTGGATATCAAGGCACAGACTAAGTGGTTGGCCAAGCCAGGAATTGGTATCTGAAATAGTAAATGAGGGATGCTCACTGGTCCCTGTTAGTCCATTGAGAAGTCAGACTGGCTTGGAATGGCGCACATCCTTTAGCTTGGCAGAAAAGAAGCTTGCACAATCATTGAATGATTGCCAGAAGGCCTGCTATTTGATTGTGAAAGGAATCTGGAGGCATTATCTTAAACATCCAAGTAAAAGAGGATTGCAGTCTTATCATCTCAAAACAACATTGTTTTGGGTGTGTGAAGAAGTGCCTACAAATGAGTGGAGAAGAGAAAAACTTGGTATTGGAGTACTGCAAATATTACAGAAACTGTACTACTTTCTTGTTAACATGTTGTGTCCACAATATTTTATTCCAGAAAATAATCTTTTTCAAGACATTGAAGGAGATGTGCTGATGTCCACCCTTCAAAGAGTCTCTATAGCCATTTTGTCAAGGCAGCAAGTTTGGTATGACAATCCTGGACTTTTGACCATGTTGCCACCAGAAAACTCTAGGATGCACCTGACCAAACTTGAAGACCAGGCCTTCCGAGAGGCCATTGAAAATGTTTATAGCTTTTGCTTCACTTTCGCATCGCATGAAGATGAAGAACAGGCTGAAGATTTTGAAAAAATGCTGGCTCTCCGTGTGAAGGAAGCCTTAGAGAAATGCCTTCAACCTCAGGGGTTTTGGCACCACTTGATTGCAGTCTTTTTTGCCATTTTTGAGAAGGCTGTCTTTCAACAATACTGGGATTCCTGTGCTGCTATGAGGAGATACATTGGTGGAAGGATTCCCCCTCGATTGATTGCTCTAAAGAAACCAATTCCTTTGGATCTGATCATCAAACTTTGTGCATGGCTGGATATGTTCAAGTTTAGTTTCAAGTTATTTGTTAAGTTTGTCAATGAAGAAGGAATGAAAGATCTGACGAATCTCGAAAACAATGAAGACCAAGAGTCATCAGAGGAGGACAGTGATTCCGAGGGTACGGGCATCATGGGAGACTTTTCACATCACATCCTTTCAAATCTAACCCAGGCATTTATGGAAACTGGCAAGTTTGACATTGAAATGACTTCTGATGATGAAAGTGAAGAAAGTGAAGTTGATGAGGATAACAAGGACTGAAAAGAACACTACTTACGAACAATTTTAGATTCCTAACCTTATTCTCCCTAAAATTGTTTTTCTTAAAGACAGTGGCTGGAGTTGTCTTGTGACTCAATAAAAAGTCAGGCAGATTTCAGATTTGATGGCTAGTGAATCCTAAAAACCTATGACATGTGATCTTCCACCAAATTTTTTTGTTGGTTATTGCGTGGTGTGACAATCATTATCTCGCTGCTGACTGTGTGGAACGTACGTTCCATGCTTGCTCAAAGGTGTGAAAAGTTAGTTAAAGCCACAGCTAACCTTTCAGAAAAAAATCTTTGCATTACAAACAAAAGAACTGTCCCAAATGGTTTCAGAGATCTTCAAGGTACAGTTCATTATGAGCTAAAACTCAGCTTAAAATACATTATTGCATCTAGTTAGAGGTGCTTTACAGCTTTTTTCAAAAGTGCTTGGTAGAATATTATTGTCCAGAAAGGGTTTATGATTCTCTCAAATCGTTGTTCAACCTTGCTGAATCAACTATGGACAGAACCGATGACTAAGTATCTCTCTTTAAGAACAGGATGTAGAATGAGTTTGATTCTGTTGACAACATGTATAGCTTGTGTCAAATGACTGAATATAGCAGGGAGGGGGAGCATTTGACACACCCATCTAGAATGCTATACACTGTAGATACCTAAGTAGGGTAATACTATGAACTGCTGCAGAGTAGTAATTCTGAAAATTAGTTTTGGTCAGGAGTGTGGTGGAGAAACTAGCATTTTGGCTTATGATGAAATGTAATAAAATTGATTCAAAGGAATCCATCACCATTTTGAATGAGTGATTTTATTAGAACAGTGTTTAACATGTAGGACACACAGGTTGCTTAGTCACTACAACAAATGGCAGGAGTAAGTCTGAAAGAAAATTCATGTTGTATCATGAGAAGAATGTGTTGGAAATCATTATCCTTTTGTCAGGATTGTATGACCAGAAGTTTTGGGAAATTCAAATTGGCTTGAATTTGTGCTGATTGTACGGATAAGATGATTTGCAGCAACTTAAAATTGGTAATGTCTGCTACATACCTAATTTTCCAAAACTTGTCTTGTCATGAAGCTTCTAAGAGTGTGGTTTCTACCCCATAGACAAGATGCCAGTCCAAAACAGTGTTACCTTCTTGAATTTTTTCAGGTTTCCCTGACAATTTGAAGGTAACCACATATAATCCCCATGTGGTTTAATGGTTAGCATGCTGGACTCCAAGTCTAATCCAGGTTCAAGAGCTGGCTGTGTTCTTGTGTTTTTTTGAGGCAAAACACTTTACTTGACAGTACCTCTCTTCACCCAGGAGTATAAATTGGTATTGGCTAACTGTAGGGGGAGGTCAGATGACATGTGGGGTGGGAGGGGGGGTTATAATACTCCAAGTTGCTTCTGGCTACAGAAACCTGGATGAGTTCCAGCTTGATGGGCCACATGGCTGACAAGAGCAAACTTGACCCTTAAACTCCTAGATGTGATAAACATGTAACCTCTCCCTAGAGGAGAAGGAATTCAGGAACAAATGGAAATTTTTCTGTCTTTATAAAATTGTATTGTGTCCTTTTTCTTCTCAACTTTTGTATTTTGATTTGTTTCTTTTCGCTACCCATTTATTTAACAATTCATTAAATTCTAAAAAATTAATACCCTATGTAGCGTAATTAACAAACAAAATTCTTATAAGTGACTCGAACAATTAATATGCAAACAATAATGTAAATAATGTAATTGTATTGTAATATATGTATTGTAAGTAGTGCAAGTTAATGTAGTGTAAGCATTGCGTAAGAAGTAAAGTGTAAGTACATATGTAAGTATAATATATATATAAAAAAAACAAAAATTAAAAAAACAAACAAACACAAGAAAACTTCTCCTTAGAGTATTCATACATTATCTAGCAAACAGGTAGGGAGAATACTCAAACTTATCAGGTGCAAGATGTTATCTTGATCAAACACCAAATTCTTGTAATCAATTTATAAGGAAATGTGTAGCAGCTGGAGGAGAGAATTAACAATCAGATCTTGAGAGTTAAAGGGTTAACCTCCACTGCACCGTCCACAAATACTCCTAGAGAGATACGAGTAAGACACTGAGAGAGTGATTTGACTTGCCGAATAGCAAAATGGTATGTCCCAGGCAGGGTTCAAATCAACACCTTGTTATGCTCTGTTCACAGCACTACCCTCCTGTCCTCAATTTCTTTCATCCTTGTACCCTGTAATCAGATGGATTCCTTGTGCATTTCATCGCATACATATGATTGTTGGCAAACACACTTCATTTGTCTCTATAAAAATACTTTATTCCCTTCATTTTCTAATTTACAGCTAATGGATACAAAAATAAATCCATTTTACTTCCATTAGTTGGCGTCTTCTTCACTAATCTATACTAAAATAACTAGTTTTAACCTCAAGGACACTACATAGTGTATGCATTTACAACTGGTTAAACCAAATCACTGGCAACAGTTCTCTAACATAGCAAAACATTCTGCCATTCTGCAAAATTAATTTTCCCCAGATATCCTCTCTGCTAACAATCCGCCTTACTAGGGTATTTGTCAAAATCGCACCCAGCCTCAGCTTTTAAAAAGCTCCAAAAATTAATTTTAAGAATTCTAAAATAAGCATTACACGCATTCTATGAAATTCCTTTGGGTTTGCCACGCATTCCTTATTACACAAGAAAGTTGCATTAAATTGTAAGCCCTTTAGCACTGTTAACCCTTTGACTCCTGTGAGTGACCAAGAAATAATTTCTCCTCACAATATCAATACAATATCATGCATACAAGTGATGAGAATAAACACAAATATCAACCAGGAGATTATTAGTTGATCCAACACCAAATTCTCCAATCTAACATCACAAGGATTGTATGGTAGACAGTAAGAAGAGTTATTAGTAAGATCTTAGGAGTACAAGGGTTAAGTTCCAAGAAATGCACTGAACAAAGAAAATGTTTACTTAATCTAATGCATAGCTGCTGGGTTTAGGTCATATGAGGTTTTTAAAACTAGATAAACTATTAGGTATTCCATACAAAGGCAATGATTTAAAAAAAAAAATTACTGATCAACAGGTACCTAAGAGAGCAATTAGACTGAAAATCAGTAACTTTGTTCATTGTAAAACAGGTCAATCACAGGTTGACAAGAACAATTTGACACCTCATTTAGTGTAAAATCAGTTAACCACACTTTTTGTTTGTCTTCCTGAACCAGACGCCTTCACAAAAGTTTGCTTCAACAACTTTAACCAATGTTCAATAGCTGCATTAGTCTTTGACAAATGAAAACTCACCATGGTAAAAAAAAAAGCATTCTAATTAACAATACAGAAATAAAGGAATAAAGTTTTGCCCTTAAATTTTTTTGGTAAAAAAGCAAATCAATGTAACACATATAGAAATAAATTATGCTAGCTTAGGCATATTTCTTTTGGCCTAAAAGAAGCACCTGAGTACATTCAAATGCCAGTTGATCACTAAGGGGCATTGCTAAAGGTATTCTAAAAAGGAAAATTTACAAATTATATGATGAATTCACTCAATAACACCATACTACTACTGTTCTCATTGTGCCCACACTTTCATATTGTCAACACATTTCTGGTATAAAGAAAAACAAACAAAATATTCTGCTGAGGAACCATTTACCCTGTAAGTAGCTAAGTCAGTCAAAACATTTCAATTTTTTCAATTGCATATTACGAAGCCATCAGAAATTGAAAAAAAGTGCAAAATATTAAAAAAACAACAACAACAAAGAAAAGAACACTACTCAATTGATGGGGATGCTTAACGTGAACAGCAAATTACAATTTTTCAAGATGGTACATGACAAATCTTCTGCAATATGCCCAACATATACTTGGACTATGAATTTACCTCTCATTTCAGACATTCTTTAAACGCTATACTCAACTACAATGATTTAAAAAATTATTTCACTTACAAAATACTGTTCCTAAACTGAACAAAAGGTATATTGTACACCAAAGTAAATATGAATTGTAAACCAAACGTGAAGTTTTAGGTCTAATATGTTTTACTTTCAGATCTTCATACCTGAATTTAAAAAATTTCAATTAATTCTGAATCAAATATTCTTTAATTTACTAGGCAACCAAAAGTTATAACAAGGGGTCATAATTAAAAGACAAAATTTTTAAAACCAAAAGCTTTGGAGAAGATCCAAGTGGAAAAAGCTCAAATGTCTTAATTGCTGCATCGTTATGGTCCCCATCTTTAATACATTGACAGCTACAGAGAACAATTTTCCTGCCATGGTGCAAAATTGCAACATTAATCAATGTCAATTCTACCAATAATCCTGAGTATCATTTTACCTCAAATCCACCAGACAATTCCACAAATTATGAACTTCTCAATGAAGTCCGTATATACTGTACATTTACAAGCCTACTTGAATTTGCAACTGTTACAATATTAGATAATATTATGACTTACTACATGTAGCTAAGCTGTATATATTTGCATAAAAGCTTTGCTGGCTCTTGAGTTGCATAACAACATGGTGTTACATGTATCCGGACACTGCTGACTGACTGTTTCCAGCCTTCAACCATGCTAGGTGAGCAGACTTCAGTGAGTTTAAGCACTTGAATGGGGATTGTCATGTAAGCCAACTTTGTGTGTCGGCATATTGCTAATGCTGTGGTTAAGCACAATGATGAAGCAGCTGTGAACCATGAGTGAGGTGCTTAAGACATCTCTATAGTAAAACTGCCTGAAAATATTCCAACACATCTAAATGCCATCTTACATTCTAAGTTTTGTCATTCATCTTAGACATGATAGCACGGACCCGCTTCTGAGCTATTGCTGCTGCTGAAACAGCATTCTCTGCAGCACCAACTGCATCTCCAGCTTTATCTCGTGATGCCGCAGCTCTTGACAGTGCAATCTGTGATTTCTGATCAGCTGTTTCTGCAGCATCTTGTGCTCCCTCACAAATTACTCTCAGTCTTTGTTTAAATCTTGTCACAAGAGAAACTAATGGACCCTTCTTTTTATTGTCTGTAACTAACTCGTCGTTTTTCCACTCTCCTTCCAGTTTCGTTTCATTTGGAAAGGTGGCCACACCCAAACCATGGCGCATGTTTTCACTCCATTCGCCCATGTAGCTGAACCCGTCAGTATCATACACAATACCCAATCCATGCCTCTTGTCATTCTTCCACTCACCTCTATATGTCTCTATCAAGCGACTGTTTGCCCTTTCAATTTGTCCATTTGAATCCACAGTTTCCATTGTGTAGGACTGAGCTGAGCCACTTCCCATCGTACTATTCAATGATCCATTTTGACTGGCATTCTCTGGATCACTTGCTGATCTGGGAGAATGTGACTGCGTTTCAGAAGTTTGTGAGGGTGTCTTGCGGTGACGTGCAAATGTTCTACTGTTCTGACTACTGTTAGGTAGAACACCATTAGATTTAAAATTATCCACAGTCGACTGTCTAGAGATACAACGTCTATAATGCTTTGTACTGCTGCTTTCTTGCTTAACCTCTCCATGTCGGATACCATATCCAGAACGCATTCCTGTTTTCCACTGCCCATAGTAATATCCTAAAACAATAGTGAATCATGTTGATTAAAGCACACAACATTGGCAAACAAACAGCAGATGTGTATCTTGAGAATCTAGAAGAAAATTTTAATCCTAATTTTTCACACATATGTTCATCTATACACGCAAACATCAAAACTTTTCATAACAATGCTTATCAGATACAGGAAACAAGTCTGATGTCACAGGAAGTGCATTTCTGTGGTAAGCTATGACATTGTTTACATTTTCGAAATCTTATTGATAATGGCTTTCCACCACTCAGATTTATTTCAAAAATGTGGAATACAACTGGCGGAGTAGCAATAAAGACTAGAACCTAACAAGTATTCACTCAAAAGGGGCCCAGCCATAGTTATTCATTGATTATCTTTGATGGTTCTCCTGCTTTAAGTATCATCAGAGCTGTTAATGTCCACCTATTCTTTTACTAAAGTGATCAATAACATCTACTTATTAACCCCTTCACCTCAAGGAGTGACTTGCATCTTATTTCTCTATACAGCATCACTATTACATCAAACATTACCTTATCAGAATAGGGGAAATGACCATCATTTTAAGAAGCTCTGGATTGATAAACAAATTCTCCTCATCAATATTGTAGGAAATCTATAAACTACATTATGGAGAATATGCATACTGGTGTTAAGGTGTAAAAGGTTTAAGGCTAGCTCCACCTCTGGAGTGTAATAAAAAATGTGGTTTTGCAGACCACATGTTAACACGACAGCCCACACTCTAGTAAATTTCCGGAAACACCAAATGATTGCGATAAGAAAAAAAATTACATCCTTCTCAAAGGCATGAATCAAGCAAAGATAATATCAAAGAATTAATGTTCATGTTGCCAGAAAAACTAGACAAAATTTTTCATTCACATTCAACTTGATACAAGATATTCTTGTTGCACATACCATTGTTGCATTTTTTCAGTGTTGGCTAGAATACAGCAGATCTATTAAATGTATCACTGGGAGTTAATTTGAATTATTAAAAATACAAAAGGACGCCTTCAGCTCTGAAACATATTATTGATTGTGGCTTGGTTCATTTTCATTCCTCTGCTGGAGATTCTTAACCTGCCGTGCACAAAATTAGAAGGCTAACCGGCCGATGAATTTTAACTAAGCAGTTGCTATATCAACCATGTCACACAATAAAATTTCAGATCCAAAGGACCTCATCAAAGGTTTTACGTCAGAAAAAAACAACACTGGAAATCTACGTCAGAAATAAATTGTCATGGATTGCTTGAGAGTGTAAAAAAAAAAATTGGTTTTGTATGGTGGTATAGTGAGACCACTGCAGTTTAAATTCAGATGAAATATTTCCAGCAAATTCCCACAGATCTGTTCAAAGCAGGGAGACTCCAGTAAAGTCATGGGTTAGTACACTGCATGATATGTTTACCTTATAAGATTTCATTGGGTGCAACTGTTCTCATCATAACTGTACATAGTACTGAAAAGCTGAAGAAAATGGTTATTTTAGGAGCAGAAATTAGTAAAATGCTCAGAGTCTGCCATTCATCACTGAATGTGTCAACAAAATAACAAGAATCAAGTATCAAAATAAGTTATTTCCGAAAGAGAACTTTCCAAAACTGTTCAGGAAATGCTTGATACACTGGAGATGTTGAACAGCTATAAATTTCAAGAATCAATTAAGAAAGTGGAATGCCAAGATCAGATGATTTGTGGTGATATGGAATAACTCAGAATGCAAATGATTGCAGTTTTGCTAAAAATAAATAAATAAATAAACAAATGAAATATCATCTACCGGTCTCAGTCCAATATCTTTTGCAAGTCATTTATTAGTTTTTTGACAGAAAAAAGGAAATAACCATGGCAAAATAGTCAGAAATACTCAAGTCCAACTTGACACCACATGAAAAAGATCACCTGCACAACCTTGTCGGTGCCTACAGCGTTTTCAAATTGGGGCTGTTCTCAGGAACCAATCCGTGATTGAAACGAATAAAGTAAAGAACCATCCATTTGAAAACTTCTATATTCTAAAGTAAAAATGAGCTTTACAATCCATGAATGGGAACATGGAATGATAGACGCTAAAAACACAATCAGAGGTAATATCTCCAACCGAGCAACTCCTAAACACTCCCGATTCTGAAAAGTTATGGTTCGTTCTAGAACGGGTAATCGAGATCATTCGCCGCCAAAACATTCAGACGTCGACGAAAACACTCACTGAAATGGTCAACATCGTTTAGTGTGTTGACAAACTGCGAATGGGCGAACAGACAGCGGTGTCAGAGGCGATCTATTCACAAGCATGTTCTCTGTTTACGTATCTTGGACCCTATCTTTTTCTCAATGCCACAATCTCGCAACCCTTTCATCTACGATGTCCATTTGAGCTTTTCACAAACTACAGTTCGATGAATAAACCTGCATAAAGAGTACCCATGGATCTCACAGAAATGTAAACTTTTGAGAAACAGACAACCCAAACTTGTTCGCATGAGCGAAAAAAATTAAACAGCTGCGATCGCGGATATTTCGAATTCTGGTGAACAAGTCAAGCATAACAAGCTAGAACTGATAAAGCTCTACTTTTATTCTTTATCATGAAGAACTCCGACATATGTCTAGCGCTAACTAAAGAGTTACTGTGTCGAAAGCGATCGTGTCGAGGTGGATGTATAATTTGCATTTACTTCTTAAGCTTGTGCTTCAGTCTAGTTTACAAAGTTACATTTCGAACGAAGAAAATAATCTCCTTTGGTATTTTCAGATAGGCACCAAGTCTTTAGGACGGATCTAGGAACTATTAATTCTCATAGAAAGGAATATTGGTCCCTGCCTTCATCCATTTAAACCATATATCACACAATCAAAACTTCGATCTAAGAATAGAGTCCCTCTAATCAAATGTTCTGGACCACCATTAAGTATTGATATCATTGCTCCATAAACAAGACCTCGGGAGCGTTCGACAGTCATAAAATAAGCTTAATCAGCAGGCATCTTACATGCGGAAAACGTACTCAAAAACTGTCAAATGAGAAGAGAAAAGCAGTAATGTCAAATGATTTTCTGCTAGTACAAAATCCGGATAAAGGAAATTTCGGTTAAAAAAAAGTGAAAATCCGTTTAGTGTAACATAACAAGAACGCAAATTGGAGAAATTAAGCGGCTTTAGCAAAGTACAGTGCTTCAGGCAGTCTCCAAAATACATCTATGGCTAATGACAAATTTTGCAAATGTATCTTGTCTAGTGACACAAATGACCAATTGAGTTCAATTTTCTTCCGAACATGGGTCATCATTCTTTAACAACCGCTGCAAATTGGAATCCATCTGCCGACAAATATGCTACAAATTATACCTTTGTTGCACTTCCCTTTCGAACAGTTATAACGAAACGTACCTTCATCAGCGTAAACCTCGATTCCATAACCTTCTTGTAGTCCAGACGTCCAACTTCCCTCATAGCGCGCCCCGCTTTGCGACTTCTGCACACCGTAACGCGCTTTAAAACCTTCTTCCCACTCGCCTTGGTAAGTCCATTTTCCTCGATATTCAACGCCAAGTCCGTGTCTGCGTCCATCGAGCCATTCACCCTCAAAGCGATGGCCGTTAGGCCAAACATAAACTCCGCTGAGTTCGAAGCCGTTGTTCCAAGAGCCTTCGTAACGAGCTTGTCCTTTTGGTCCGGTACAGATGCCATATCCATGTGCCTTGCTGGTTTTCCATTCTCCGCAGTAAGTTCCACCATCTTCAAAGTCAAAGCGACCTCCGCTCATAATAAACCGCGGCAAGCATAGCTCGCTAGCGAGTTAGTTTAAATCGGAAAAGCGAGTCAGTTTATCACCATCCTCTACACGTCTTTACTCATCTATCTACACGCGATGTGCGTTTGTTTCACTTGAATGACACTTCACGCAAATCTGCTTTCTTCAGACCACGCGCATGCTCTGCACCGAAAAGCCGCTAGCAGTTGCGCTTTGTTTTGATATTTGTTTATTTTTACAGTTTGTTTGCTAAGGATGTTGCCAGAGCATTTTAAATTTTGGAAGATGCTATTTTCCTGTGAAATTTTAATGCTCTGATATTTAGAGATCTGGACGAGATGGTAAGATAGCAAAATATTCCATCCCACATAAATATTTTTTTTTTTCGAGATTTTAAGATTATGTTTACTAAGAGACCAATTAATTAAGCAAATATAGAAAAATTAAAGTTTCAGCCATGTGTGTGGTAAACAAGAAAACCAGATCAACTAACACCTCACAGAATATACCGAGCTACTCACCGTGAAAAAAATGCTTACTGAGATATAGAGTGAAACGATGAGATGAGCAAAAGATTGGCCGCGCTAAGACTAGATTGCATTCACTCAAAAGAGCCTTACCTGAAAATTTTTAGCCAAAATATTTCTATGACGTAAAAACTGTGACCCACTAAAGCTTAATGAGCTCTTTGCAGAATGGTCATCGAAGATTCAAGAAGCATTATCGGAGGGACCACATGTACAATTATCATATTTACATGATACTAAAAAGTTCATATGGACGGCTTACATATCACAAAGCCAAATACAGCGTGAAACTTGATAATAGTTATTTAAGTCTGCTATAGATTCATTTTCTTCGCAAGGGTAGGTTCCATTCAGACATATGGAGTGTAAACATTGCCAGCTTGTTTCTGTCTTTCAAAACTTTCCTTTTACCGCCGTTGGACATAACTTTTTCAAGCGCAAATGTATCTGTCTCTTTCCGCAAGAAACTACTTATGATTTTCCTTTCTTAGTTCCTGTGGTCGGGGACAGATATTAGACGCATTGTCATTGGAAAAGTCTAGAACAGACGTGTTTATTTTTCCTTGAGTGATAGTTGGTTACGTTTGAGTTCTTCCCGCTTTTGTCCAAATACGAAGCGATCTCCTGCTGCGAGATCAAGATGAAAAGAGCCAAATGAGACGATTTAGTGTTTTTGACTAACCTAAAGTTTCACATCGGGCCATAAAAATCATTGGCTTAATTGCTTTCATCTGCAGGTCCTGCGAAATGGATGTATCTGGAATGAGCAATCAACACAAACACACCGACAACACTTGCTCCGACTTAGAAGTCACGCGAACAAAAATGTCAAATGAAGATTAATCTCTTTTGCGTGAATTGGCGTCAAAATTCACCTTCAAGTCTTTCTTGAGAGACGACTTTGCAGCTAGTAATCATCTTCTTCAACTTAGTGACAGTAAAGAAATATAACGAAAAAAAACAGGTAACTTTGACCAGTATCAGATGGTGATGTTGATAACTGTTCGGTCTGTAAGAAAAAGTAAACAAAACAGAAATAGAATCAGCAGTTGGGTTCTTTTCAAAACAAAGATTTTTTTGTTTAATAAACAACATTCCTGGACTAAAATCTGTGAAATGTTACATTACTGATCTGTTTGTAATCAAAGGTGACAATGTTTACAAAATACACTGATCATATCCGGACATTAGAGAAGTTTAATAACTTTTAATTTTTCTTTTTGTGAATTCAGGGCAACAAACTGGCTCACCGGATATGGTGGCGCGTACAAGTGTGGAAGTATCTTTTTTAGACAACTTTGCATGGGTGTTTTGGGAAAAAATGGCTGAATTAATATAAGCATCTTTGCAAAAACCTTACTATTCAAAAGTGTAATTATACGGTGATGTTACACTTGAGTGCCAACCATCTGAGTGAAACAACATACAAAAAACTTTAATTTTACCAGTAACACGATGAGGAAAACCTACATCAGCTAGCGAAATTGTCTACTTCCGGTTTGTCACTCTATGATATTAGGTATGGGTTGCAGACCCTAAGAAACTCTACACTGTTCCACGCACTGTGTTTGCGGGGACGAGTGAAAAAATAGGGCAAGCGAGAAAAGGAAAAGTGAAGACACCATTTGTAAACTGTTGAAGATTTTAAAGTTCTCTTTGTCTATTTTGTTTGCATGTTTTTGCCAAACGGTTTCCCGAAAGCGTGACATGACGTGACATCTAGTCTGTTCAGCTCAGAATGCTTTTTTTTTTTAAATCCTCCGCTTTGAATGATTATCGCTTTGATGAAATTTCCTCACTCAACGTCTGAGGATTAAATGGGTTCAATGTGACATTTACTCTCGGAAATCATAATGGAACTGGCTCGGACTTTGCTCTTAAAAAATGGCCCAGAAGAAACAACTTCAATCCTGCCTTTTATCTTAATTATTGGTTGGTAGCGTAGGCGTTTCACCATTAATTACGTAAACGTCTAAGGATTTTATAAGTTTTGACGACTGGACCAAAGAAAAGTACAAACATTACGACGAAAAAACGTTTTGTATAGGAGATAACAGCAAACTTTGATATCTGTAGTTTCTATTCGTCGCAGATCCAGTTCCAGTACATCACTATCACGATGGAACCAATCGTAAAAGTTGAACTCGGCTTCAGACTGCTGCATGTGTAGCTTCAGCATATCCGTTCCCGAGTACGATGGCTGTTCCAATTGATTTTCGAGCTTGCAAGGGAAGGGATTAAAAAAAAGGCGAATAAATGACTCTTGTTTCTAAAAAAAAAAAAAGCGCCTCACTTGTTGACCCTCCCAAACTAAGCTAGACTTTTCTGTTACTCTTTTATCGCACGTTTGCTGTGTAGCCTACTAGCAGGGAAGTGTATTTCTGTTGTTTAGATTCCCTCGATTCGATATCTCTTTATTTCATTTTCTGTTCTATTTCTGATAATTTTTTCAGGGCTCTAAAATCAAACCAATAGAAAAAAATAAATAAGCCAACAACAACAGATGGCCATTACGTATGCGATCATAAAGTTATCAACAAGTTTCGCGGTATATTCTGAATTTCTCCAACCTTGTTTAACCCTGTTGCCGAGGCCTTTACTCGGATTGCTCTAACAATTATTGTAATAGGATTCTCTGCACGAAGATATTTTATTTTCATACTCTATACAGAAAGTTTTTGGCACGTTAACATTTTTCCCCAGTTTCTCGGGATTTATTTTCTGAGGGTCTTACACTAGGAGTGTCTGGTAGTTTTCTCTTGATTTACGAAGTTCACGACAAAGTAGAAATTGTGTCCCTCTTTGTTGAAGAACAGATAATAGATGGCCTTCGCCTCTAACAGCTCTCACCCTCCCCTCCCGTGGAAAAACTAGTTTGAAAAAACAAAACCACCCTACCAATTTTGTTTTTCATGGAGAGCGGTTGGTTTGATGCTCATACTAAAGCAGTGGTCACCCGCTCTGAACGTGAGGTAAGACTGTGGTGGTTCAAAGTTTCCAAAGGTTGGTACGTGTGCGTTTGTTACAAGGGACATTATACTACTGTTACATGAGTGAAGTTTCGGCCACTGCGCCTGAAGATCAGTGCTTATATTGGCCCTTTTCAAGAACAATCTCGTGATTACGCATTTCTTTTGAAATTCTGAAGTGATATTGATGAGCAGAGCTCCCAAAGTTGCCAAGATAGACATGGCTACCTCTCTGAAAGAGTGTCCCGAGTTCATTGCGTTGCAATCACACTATGAAGCTGTCTCCAATCTCCATATGCGAAGCCTTTTTGAGAAGGATCCCGGGAGATTTGATAAATTCAGGTAACATTCCTTCAATATCGAGCTGTTGTTTGTTACATTTTGTTTAGATTGGCCTCGATATAAGTTAACTGTAGCCGTGCAGAGGTCTGCGTTCCTGGAATGTTTTTTGTTACTTGCGTGATTCAAAGTTCGAATCAGCTGTTTGTAACGATTTTATTATTTTGACAAAATAAAATATCTTTTAAAATATGCGTGACTCCACTAAGAGATCACTGAGTTTGCATGTGTAATAGATCGACATTTTAGCTTTCATTTGCTTCTAATTAAGTACAAATTCTTGACCAAAGATTCTGAAACAATGACTGTCATCGCTGATTTGACATAATGATGTTGATAGGACAATTTAGAATAAAGATATTAAAACTAGTTTAACTTGCGTGCTGCTTCATTCCTCTGTGTCCCAGTGTATAATGTATGCAGATGTATAAATTAATGAAGCAAAAGAAATTCAGCTGAGGAAGACAATCGTTTCTTCCTCAATTGCTTACAGAAGCATTTGATGAGCCAGTGTGCATATAAAGGGGTAAAACTGAAGCCCCACCCATGCCCCCTGCCCCCTCTCACAGGTGAGAGACTGACAGAGCTTGAGTCTGTGATGTTTGCATACAAAACCAAACCTGTTCTCTGAAGTTTGATTTCAATTTTGTCACTTTTCCTTTGGGCTATTTCAGCGTGCAACTTGACACTCAAGATGGTACCCTGTTGGTCGACTATTCCAAAAATATTATCACTGAGGAGACCATGAAACTTCTTATGAATCTGGTATGTCAATGGAATGGCTATAAAGATATCAGGTTTTTATTCTTTTCTGTGAAAGAATGGGCTTTGAAGAAATCATCAGTAGTTTTTTTAAATTAAAAAAGTTACAAGGGTGTAATTTTTCTTGCCACAGGCAAAAGCTAGAGGAATAGAAAGTGCATGTGAGAAGATGTTTTCTGGAGAAAAAATTAATTTTACTGAGGTATGTTTTCAGTGGTATTTGACTTTATAAAAGAGATATATTTCAAGGTGGCACAAAGATAATTGAACAATCTTTCCCTGAGTATTCTTTTGTATCCATTTGTACCTCGGGCCATGGATGTTGGAAGGGGAGATATAGTTATCCGCATGATAAATCTCTATCCAATGAATAAAGGGATACATTTTGTTAACAGTTATCTGCTGGGTAGTGATTTATCTGTTGCATAGCGTCATGCACTGTTCGAACTGGGTCCTGGGTGGAAAAGTCTCTCATATTAAACTGGCCACAGTTTGGTCCTAATCCTCTTCCTTCAGAACCCAGTTAGCTAAGTTGTA